GTGTCCATTTCTAAAATCCGGGGGGGTTCCCAATTTTTAAAAATCCCCAGAAATTTCTTCGCGAAAACACACAGCGCGTATTTCGCGTCAAGGTTGCGCGTAGGATTTGGTGTTTGCGGGCAGTCGGTGTTGACATACACTCTTATTTTTTCCGTTCTTTCTTTAGGTTTGGGATTTCTTTAGGTTTGGGATTTACTTCCTTCCCTCCTCGTCATTTTTTCTTTCAACGAACATCTTATTTTCTATCTCTCACTCAAAATTTGTCTAATAATAACAACATATTTATTTTTGGCTCATCATCACCCAATTTCTTTGCCTTAGCCTGATCAAAAAACATATGTAAATATATGTATTTAGTTTTCTAGTCTTGTTTTTTCTCGTGTTTTTCCAGGTCCATTTTTCGGATGAACATGTTATGTTTTTCTATCTTTTTTTGCTTCCTTTTTTGCTGTCTCAATCGTTTTGTGTGTTTTTTTTTGAGGAAGAAGAACAAGACAATGGAAAATCAGAAAATTCGTTTTGGAACCTAACGAACTTTGTTTTCACAGTTTTAGTTTCATTTCTTTTAAGACCAAAAATGTTTCATTTTCTGGGACCAATCACAGGGACAAAATGGTCTCGTCGCGAATCTGACTGGCAGGGACAAATTGAGCAATTATAGGATTAACAGGTCCAACATCTTAGATTTTCTTGTCGGGACCATTTATTTGTGCCCCTGTGAGGAAATGAGCTGATTTTGACAGGGACAGAAAAAAACAATTATGAGATTACCTGTTTTATTTTTTTGCAATAGGAGAAATAAAAAAAAGGAAAAATAAAAGCATGTTCCCAACATTTTTTTCTAATTTTTCTGTAAACTACAGTTATGTATATTATTAGAGTTTTAAAATCGAAAAATGTCTAAAGACATTCAATTTCATGTTTCTTTCAATACTACTGTTCTAAAAATTATTGATTTCTTGTCTTAATCTCCTAATTATTTTTGGTCCCTGTCATCTATCTCGTAGCTCAATTTCTCACAGGGACCATTTATAATTGGTCCTGGCACATATTACCAAAAACATGATTTTTCCCATTCAATTTTTTTGTCTGGTTTCTGGTGTTCTAAAATAAATTGAAATTAGGCTAATTAGGAAAACTGACCCATCAGAAAACAACAAGTACACATTTTTGATTCATCACATTTTCCATTTTTCCTGATCTGAAACGCATTTTTTCAAGCCCAAAAATAGAACAATGAGCCAATTAAAAAATAATTGAGATGAAATACACCAATTTTATTTTATTTCATCTTACTTCTAATTATTGGCTGCTATAGATTTTTGAACTATGTACGAAGGAACTATTGGTGCATACAAAATCGAATTTTTTGTCAAAAAACGAGAAAAGACAAAAGTTCATTCACGAGTTTTTCACAGACATATTTATTATCCCGAATTTTTTGTTTGACTTGTTTCTATAGCTACTTCACTACAGTACTATTTCAAGATTAATCGATTTCCATAAATCACTGGATTTCATTGGAAAATATTCGATATTCTTTGCTTTTTACAAAAAAAGTACTCCACAGAAATTAATCATTGATTCATTTTTTTCTGGCAATGAAAGAGAATTTGTTCTTTTGTTTTTCCGGACACATTTGCAATTTTGTTTTGAAATGAAATATAAAAGAAATATGTGGAAAATATTTTGAGTATTTGTGCTTTTTAAAAAATGCACTGAAAACAAGACAATTTCATCAAAATGAAGCTCAAATTGAGATTTTTCTTTAATTACTTTGCATTTTTTTCATAACAAATTGTGAAAATAACGCTCAAGAAACCATTTTTGATCATAATAATGTTTTTACAGAATATTATTATTTTTGAAATCGAAATGTTAATCGTCATTTCTATTTTATTTCCAAAACAAGAATTGTATTATAAGAGATTAGCTATTCATTCACAATTTTGAATTATCTCATTTTCTGGTTTTGTCATTTTGAACTTTTCTTATTATTGAATCAGAGGTGATTGTTGGCTTTTGATTTTAGGATGCTGAAATTTAGATTTGTTATACTTAATTTCTGAAATGCATTAATTTGGGGAATATTTTGTTAAAACTGTTAAGTCATAAAAAATTTTAGTCCGATTAGAATATCCAAAAAATTAGACCCAGGCGATCGAATCTGAACTAATTTCTCGGATTTCAAATTTAATAAAATCTGTTTTCTATCAGGAATCCTCGTTTTTTCTTCCTTTATTCATTTTCTTCATCTATTTTTCTCGCTCCAATTATTCGTCTTTTTTAATTTCCGCTCAGCTCACACAGAAAAAATAGATAGCGAAGAACCACGGAAACCTTTGATCCCGCCCATTTTTTTCTCATTTCATTTCTGTATCTCAAAGGTTTTCAGTTTTCACATTATTAAAAATAACCATGAACTTTTCGGGATTTTTAGTCATTCAAAAAATAATTGAGTTTTTTTTTTCTTGTGCAATGAAAAAAGAATAAAGAAGAAGGATAATCGAATATTTCTGGGTTCATTTTGTTCGAAGATTATGGCGGGATTTCCCCATACACATTTTGTACCCGATTTTTTTCAAATTTTTCTTAAAATAATACTGCAATTCTTTTTGGTAATTATAGCATAGAAAACCTTATGTTTTTAATTAGAGAGAAATTTTGCAAAATTTTTTTGATTCTACGAAATTCACACATTGTGATTATGTAATTTGAAACACGATTATTTTTTGGCTTCTCTTATTTGGAGAGGATTTTTCATATCGATTCTCATTGTTTACCTCATTTTCATTAGATTTTTTTCTGTTGTTTAATTTCATTTTTTCTACATCAAAGATCAAAGGGCCAAATTGTGTTGGTGCCATTTTTGAATTTGGCAGCTGATTTTCTATTCAGCTGCAATGATAAATCGATGAAGTTTTGTTGGACAACATTTCAACAAAAATGTGTGTTCCAGTAATACATTGGCATATAACAAAACCTGTTATGATTATATTTTTGCAAACTTTCTGAATAATTATCTTGCGGCAAAATTGAATTGTCTATGAGTTATGTTTTTGTTAGTCACATTTTCTGATAAAATTTAATATTTTTTCCTTTTAAAAAATGATTTTGATTTATCAGAAGTTCAGTCTCAGTTTCAATGTTTGATTTCGAAAAGTATTTAATTTTTAGTTTCCCTCAAAATTTTCCAATTTTTAATTTTTTCTTCATTTTCTCAAAAGTTCATTTTCACTCTGAAAGTGTTATTTCGAGATTTTCAGAAAATTATATGTTCTCAAATGTTCTTGTTCATTTTTCTGCGCTCGATTTTAATTCAAGATTATAACATTCGTAAAGCCGGAAGTTAATTTTACTCAAAAACTGGACCAAGATAAATATTTCTCAACAAAAATAGAAGTTCTTCAAGTTTTGTTTCTAAAACTTGCATAAACCTAACAAGGAATGGTTTTCAATGTTCCCCCAAGGAAAAAATCGAGAGTATGTGGAATGTTGAGGGTTCCCGTGGGTAAGAAAACCCTAACGGGAATAAGGAGAAAAATGCCTTATTCTCGAGAAAAAATGTATTTTAGGTCGATTTTTACACCATTTTTTGATTTTTAGAGCATCTGTAACTCGATTTTGAATCTATTTCATGAACTTTTGAGTCGTGGAAGTTGTTCAGAATGGTCGATTACGTGTTTGTGAAACTTTTTATCAAAAAATTAGACATTTTTTGAAATTTGGTTTTTTTAGTCGGGGTTTTTCTGATCAAATGGTCACCAAAAAACACAAAAAATAATTTTTTCCATTTTCAAATGAACGGAACTTGAAAAATTTATGACGCTCAACAGACGTAATTTGGTCCGTAGAATCCAAAAATCATAGTCTCGATTCACACAAACTTCTCCTTCACAACGAAAACGTTGATTTTCTATGAATTTTTCAAACTAGAAATTTGATTTAGTGGACTTTTGGGACCAAAATTATTTTATTCCTAATTTTAGTCGAAGTAATACTAAAGTACGCCGTTTCCGCTACAAATGGATTTTTAGACTGACATTTTTCATCAATTTTGAAAAAAGTTTCGATTTTTCTAAAAAATTTCATCGCAAAAATCAATAACACCAAAATTTTCTAAAACAAGGCATTTTTCTCCTTATTCCCGTTAGGGTTTTTCTTACCCATGGGAACCCTCAACATTCCACATACTTTCGATTTTTTCCTTGGGGGAACATTGAAAACCTTTCCTTGTAAGCTTATAGAAAATTGTTCCAAAAGAACACGTGTGAACTTTTTATTAGTCACTTTTTTTTGTTGATCTTATTTTGCAAAATTGAATTGTCTGAAAGTTATGTTTTGTGTTTTTTGTGTCAGTTATATTTACAGCTCATCTTCTGAGCATTTGAGAATATATTCAGTCTAACGTGTTAATTTTCAGATAAGTATAGGTTTTCAAATTCTCTAGAATTTCCTTGTGAAATGAAGTTTTGAACGCTCTAAATTTGATTTCTTTTTTTGACAGCAGCAAGAAAGTTCAAAAAAAACTTGCACAAAAGTTGTCGCCAGGGTAAATTTTTCGAAAAAAAAACCAATATGTCTATTTTTTGAACAAGCTTTTCTCATTTCACTAAAAACTGAAAGACCTTGAAAATGAGCACAATGTTTATTCTTCAAAAAAAAAACCCCAATATCTGAACATCTTTATTGTTTTCTAGAATTCCTCCCAGGTTTTTTTTCAATTTCTCTAATAGGCTACACTCCAGTTTCAGCTTTCAGAAAACATTGTGAGTTACTCATCAAAATTAGCTCCAACCTACACACATTTTTTGTTTTTCCCATCTTGAAAGTTTAAAGTTCTCAAAAAAGTTCATCTAAAAATGCGGACAACAACGAAATTGAATAAACACACACAATTTCTCATATTTTTGGAAATAAGCTAATCCTCTTCTCTTTTTCCTTTCTCCTAAATAAGTTCTATCATTTTTTTTTCAAAAATTGAAATAATTTTGTTTCAGATGCAGTGGAATGGTTGGCCCGAATATGTTGCGATTGCCTATTTGCCGGTGTTTTTTGTGGGATTAGTTGGAAACTTTCTATCAATTTATGTTTATACAACTCCAAGCATGCGAAAATCCACTGTGAGTTTGGAATTTGCAAATAATATAGAAAAAATTGACACCTTTTCAAGATTTTTTCTCAAATTTCATTTCGTCACAACGCTACATTATAGCGGCACTCTTGAACTGAAAATAAATAAATAATCTTTGGGAAAAAAAGATGCCGGAAGTTTGGCTCATTAAATCAGAGAAACCTATAAATTTGCATAACCAAAGTATTTTTTATTTATTTTAAAAATTTTAAAAAATGGCAAAAAAGAGTTCCTTGTTTTCATTTTTTCCGTCATTTCAATTGACGTTTTTTTTTCAAACTTGGTTCATCAATTATTCGGACGAAATTTTGTGTCGTCTGATGGGGTAATTTTTAGCCTTTTTCTGGGAACAGAAAAGTGCATAGAAAAAAAGAAGAAAGAAAGGAAAAATGAGTGAAAGAGGAGATTTATGAATGGGAAAAATGAATATAATAGGGGATGAAGAAGGAAAAAGTTCTACTGATTTATGAACATCAAAATAGTAAGTTAAAACTAAATGAGGGAAAATTATTATTAGATTGGACATTTTTCGAGAAAAGGTTTCAGAACTAATTAGAGCTATGAAAATTCGAAAATTCGAGAGAAAACAAATGAGCTCACAAAAGTTGGCACAAAACTTTTCAAAACTTGCCTAGTTCATCTCACAATTAAGTTACCCATTTTCACTCAATTTATTTACAAATTCTTCAATTTTCCAGGTTGCATTCCTTCTTTACTCTCTTTCAATTTCCGACATATTTGTGCTTGCTTTTGCTCTTCCAGTCTACAGTATTCCATTTTTGCCAATCTGGTAAGTGACTTGTTTTGTTCTGAAAATGGATTAGACTTAAAGGGCTTCGTCGTTTGCAAAAAAATCAAATTTCTGAAAAATAAAATTGAGAACCTTTTCAGGGACGATATGATGAATCCATTTTCAACAAAAAGAATGTTGCTTTTTGTATCGATGAAATATTTTTACCCACTTTGTATGATTGCAAAAACTGTATCGCTTTATATAATGGTTTTGATTACTGTGGAAAGATGGATTGCGGTTTGTCGACCACTTCAAGTTCATTATCTTTGCACTTTCCGAAACTCTGTCAAGGCTGTTTTTATTATTTGCATTTTTTCTGTTATTTTGAATGTTTCCAAGTTTTTCGAGTATAAGTTGAGCTATAACGATTTATTCGGTTTTATGATTTCTGCCGGAATTTTGGACACAAAGAAAAATTGGTGGTATTTTATGATTTATTTTGTTGTTATCTCTGTTATTTTCGACTATCTTCTACCATTTATTTTCATGTTTACTGCAAATATGAAAGTTGTTAATGAGCTAAGAAGAAGTAGAAAAGAGCGATTGTTACTTACAACATCAGTAAGTTTTTTTGTCAACTTTATTCGGAGAAATAAACACAAAATTATTTTATAGCAATTGAAAGATCAAAACACAACTGTAATGCTTTTGGTGGTCACAATTTTATTCGGATTTTGTCATTTTTTTGGAATGGCTTTGAAAATTGCCGAAAGTATTATTGGGGATTTTTTAAACGATGGAATGTATGAAGTTATTGGAGAAATTTGTAATTTTCTAATAGTCCTTCATATTTCTACAACATTTTTTATTTATTATATTTTTTCGGCAAGATTTCGGAAAGTTATTCAAGGACTTTTTTCGAGGCGTGGAGATAATTCGAGAGGTCGCAAATTGTTGGATTCGACTCTGACGACTAATTGTGTTGTCAAAAATTCGTCACTATGATATTCATATTGCTTGGATAACTTTTAACTGATTAATTATTATTTTACTGGTTTGACGCAGGTGTTTTGAATTAATTATTAATTTTTCATTGAATTGCATTGTTAAACATCAAAAGATGTAATAAATATTTGACAATAAAGAATCCTAGACTACATTTCATAGTTCTACATGACTTCAAGCAGATGATTTTCTGGTATTTTCTAATCACCAACGTTTCTGATTTTTGCTTGGTTACTGAGAATGGTTTATGAAAATTTCAGCTGCATATGATTAGAAACTTCATAATAATTTAGATTTTTCATCTATGATGTATAGAATTTCCGGAAACTCCAGTGTTTATAAAAGCTCTTGTGGATTCTGTGGACACTTGGATCTTCTTCATGAATATCACTGTAAAAATGATAGATAGTTTTTCTCTGAACATTCCTATTTCTTACCACTCAAAAATAGGTTCCAAGTATACTTCCGATATGGTTTATAAAGAAAAATAGTTGCCATTGATGCAGAAACACCGTGAAGTGTAAAACAAATAACACTCAAATTATTACCTTCTTGGAAATAGAATTGAAATGTGATTGATAGATTCCAATAAATGTTTGGGGCCAGAATCACACAAACTGGAATTGAAACTTGAATACACATTGAGAAAAAGAAACTTCTTTGAAGCTTTCTGGTTGCAGCTGACATATTCGGATTTCTACCAGGAAGAAGTGTTATGAAAGTATGAAGAACGAAAAATGAGCAAATAAGTGTGATTGAAAAACATGTGAAATACATATGTGGATTGAAAAGTGAACCATCTTTTTGGAGTGCAAACATTTCATCATCAAAGTATATTTCAGGCGGACAAGGGTAGGTTTTTAAAAATTGATATTTCAATTCTTGTTGATTATCAGGCAAAGTTACAATTTCAGGAACCCCAAAGTTAATATGATAACCATAAAGAATGAAATTAAATATAATTCTAGTTGACCTTCTACGCATCACAAATTTTGAGCTAGTCACAATTAATCGATGACGTTGTTCAAACAATGTTACGATAGCACATGTCATACCTGAACAGGCAATTTGAAAAAATAAAATTTAAGAAAGAAAAAAAACCTCCAAGGGCTGCAAATGCTAGCCAAATTTGAACTACAAATGGAACTCCAAAATAAATCAAAATTCCTAAAGGTCGAGCGGCTACAAGGGGTAGAAAATAATAAGGGCAAACCATAACTGCGAACATGAAATCGCAAGTCATTGTCCTGGAAAAATAATGAAATTTCAGAAAATTGGAATTGCAAATTTCGCAAATGCGTAGCTAAGCTTAATCAAAAATTGTTGTTCTACCGAAGACAAAACTCTTACTACATCTTAATTTGGCAAAAAACCTCACCAAATATGTAAATGTACCATATACGGTACTGTTGCTTTCATTGTCGATGGTGAAACTTTCAACATTAAAAATAATGCATAAGATGATAATACCAACATGAAAAAAGTTCCAATATGACAGGCGTTTTCAAAAAAACTCGGTGTCGCCAAATAGGACCAAGTATTATCGCAGTTTATCGAATAATTTATTTTATGGTATTGCTCAACAAGCGACATGAGTAAGCAAATAAAAATGAAGCAGGTGATTTATTCATTTTGGCTCGTGTGCATTCATTCAAATTCTTTAACCCCCGAAGCTGCAAAAGCTATGTACATTTGAAATTCGAAAAGCATGATATCAGAATACCCAAGAGTCTTCCGGACATTAACGGTAAATAAAATTATGGGCAGATAAAAACAGAAAATATCAAATCACAAACCAAATCACAAATGATATCAAATCACAAAAGAAAGATCTTATCAAAATTTTATTGAACAAATATGACAGGAGTATATGAAAATCTTGGCCTTTTTGAGAAATTTGATCTTATTCAAAATATTAAAAACTGTAATTTCATTCAAAATAATTCAACTTTTCAATTAATACACCGAATTTTCATGCTTGAAAGGTTCAAACATTTTCGAAATAATCACTGACTCGATACAATTTCCCAAAATGTTCAAAGTATTCACGAACGGCCCAAAATGCTGAAAAAATAAAGGTATTGCGATTTCATATTTGGAACTCACTGAAAATAAATTTTCGAGAAATTGAAATTTGGTGACAGCAAATGGGACAACATCGAAAAGGGTGGCAATGAACATAGTGAACACCAACCAATAATCAGTCTGAAATAAAAAAAAATTTCACAATTTCTGTTGGATAACATACTTTTAGAATTCGTCGTTCTTGTTTGTTCGCCTCGCAAAAACAAATAACGAATGAGTAAAGTAATGTGCAAATCAGCATTGATGAGAAAAACACTGATCGATTCATAATCCAATATGTTAGAAAACATGGGCTTGCCATACATCCAAGAGCTGAACAATCGGGATGAGCTATAAACTTCGGGGGGCAAATCAGAAGTAGAAATAAAACATCAGAAACTCCGAATACACATGATAGAAATAATACAACACAGCTAACTATTTTCACTGATGTATAAGTAAGATCGGATAGAAGTGCAAAGATTCGAAGAAATCCAAGACAAATCGATAATGTGAATCTGGCGGGCCAAAGGAAAACCATCGGAAGACTTGAAAAAATCACATAATATGTTGTTGAAACTGTGATTTTTGAAGGATCCAAAGTTTTTAGAAGAATAACTGTGAGATATAATGTGAGACCGATTCCAAGAAAAATATCGAGAACTATTCGACAATAGAGTAGAATCAGTTCTAGGCGATTTTTTAAAAGTGATTTGTTAGTTTTGCTGAATGTTAGGAAATTGATAGAGATCACAAGAATACAAAGAGTTAGGCCAACAAGAGAAACGAGAAGAGGAATCGTCATGATGATGATATATTTTATAAAATAAGAGAACGTGGTATTTGGGATCTAATTTTGGAAAGTAGTTGTTATTTAATTCTCAAGTTTCACAAAAAACATGGTTCCAGAAGTGCGGAGTAGCTAAAAACACGTCAGCAATGTTTATCTTTTTTGTTCAAAAAGCCAAATTTATTACAGCCAAAAATAAATAAAATTAATCTGATCAACAAGAGATCGAAATATACATTATAATTACACACCAATATTCTTGTTCACCAATAAATCTGATATTGTTCTTTGATTTGAGTTGGTGGAGGTGGAATTGGAGAATTCATTGGTGTCACCAAAATCGATGCCAATTTTGATAGTGGACTCGATTTTTCAACTTGTGCCATATCTTGTACCAATCGATCAGCCACCAAAGAATCTTCTTCGCTTAAAACTGTGAAACCCATTGATCCAAGAAGATTATTTGTCTCATCAATTGCTTTTTGGGATGTTTTCGAGTTGATGAACATCTGGAAAATTCAATTTTCACACGTTTTATGGTGGGAACAATAAAATTTTCACACATTTTTATCGTTGTTTGGTGTAAAAACTTCCCAAAAACAGGTAACAATTATGCCACGCCCCTACCGAAGAACAGTATAAATATGCGAGATCTGACATGATTGGATCACTATTCAGAACTTTTACCAATCTGGATGCATTCCTGAGTCATATGATAAAATAGAAAACATTTATGACTAGAAGTGCATTCAGCTTGGTCCTTAATTTTTTAAAATTGTTGTTCTTTATTCCTACCTTCACAGTTTTAGTGTCATGAATTGGGCTGTAGATTTTGACCGAGACGTGGTTTTTATGGATCGGCGATTTTTCGTTGAGTGAAATAATTGTAGCATCTGGGATGTTTTTTGCGGTATGAGTTAGCAAAGCAGATTCATCAGCTGAAATTTCATGTTTCTGTTGAGATATTTCCCTATCAAATAAAGTCTTTACCTTGACACGCATCAATGATTTGATCGGCAGCTTCGACTTTCGACAGATCGGTGAGAATGTTGATTTTCTTGAAATTCTTCTCAGCCAAGTTAATCTGTGATTTGAGATCATCCACGAATTCAAATGGGATTTTTTTCTCAGAATCTTCTTGAAGGATATTTCGGATAACTTGCGATTCGAATTTTTTAGTATTGTTGATTTTGGCGCTTGGTGCAACCATTGACACACGTCGACCAGCTGCGGCCACTGAAAATATGAGATGATGGTGGGGGGATTTTGGATAGGGCTAGAGAAAAAGGGCTGGTCAAGTATGAGGACTTTGAAAATACATGTACGCAAAAATGCTTTTTGTTTTTTTTTCGATTATTTTCCTGGAAAAATCTAGAATTTCCCTAACTTACAAAGTCCAACCATTGTTTCAGCAACAACTCCAGTTCCAACAACAATCGACGACATTTTTGTATTTCCTCTTTTTTTTGTTTTCTGCAAAAAAATAAGACAAAATAAAATTGGCTGGTCACGAGAAAAGAAAGGCTCAGTTTCTAATTAAATCGAGTGCAAATGTAGATAACAACAGCAAAAAAAAACGCAAAACACAAAAACAAATTCATCCAAGTACAGAAATAAGTAGATAAAGCAAAATCATTTTATTTTTATATACAACTCCCGATCAGCTGTTTGCTGTCTGCACCCTCCTAATTTTGCATTATCTTTTTCATCTTTTTCTGTCTATGTCTCTAGGGCGGAGAAACATTGGGAAGAAAAAAGAAAAAGAAAAAGGAACATGTGAACAACACGAGAACCATTTCTGCGTCTCTTTGTAGTTTTTGTTATTTTTAATGAATTTTGCGAGATAAAATGAATGTGGTGTAGCTAAATTTTTATTGTGATATTATCAGGAGTGAGGAAACAGTTTCAGCAAGTATTGCTAAAAATTGTAAAAATCAATTCAAAAAAGTTAACAAAGAACGATTTTTACTGAAGACGGCTTCTCAGTGACGTGGTTCGTATTTTGTTTAACCAAAAAATTCGGAGAAAATAAATTTGAAGCAAATGTATTTGCTTGGCCAAAACTTTAGATTCACAATTCCACTGAATTATAAGATTCTCCTGAATTTTCTCCCCAATTCTGAAGAACAATTCATCACATGTTCAATTTCCAGAAAACCTTGATACTTTGTTCACTTTCTATCCTACAAAATGATAAATTTCCTATCTATTTATTTTTTGTTGACCAAACTTTTTTCTCTTTTTTTCTCCCTAAGAGCCTGAGAAAACAAATAAACAAAAATTGTTGTTGTTCAGTCACTCAAAAAAATTCAGAGAACACTCATTGAAACGTTCTCTGCAGTTTTATTATTTTCGAAATCGAAGAACATCCAACACATGATTTTTTTGTTGCTTTACACCTCAGAGAATACTACAAAAATGTGACATTTTTTGGTTTTTTGAATAAAAACGTTCAAAGGACGTTTGATGAAAGAATTAATGAACAGATTTTGAGACATGATGAAAACACATAAAAATAGAAACTCGATACAGAACTTTTGAGAATCAAAAACTAATTATTTATTCTAAGAACGAACAAAAAACTTTTGCATAATCCGATTTTTCAAAAAAATGTCGTTGAAAAGGAACCAAAGTTACAGTAGACTTGGTTGGCTCTTCTGATAATTTGATTTGAAAGAGGAAATTTTTGACTTTCTAGGCAGTTCTCCTTCAAAGGTCAAAATATTTCGGATTAACACTAAAACTTAATTTTGCAGCAGGGGATTTTTTTGAAACCAAATCCTCATAATTTCCAATTGAAGTTTTGATTTCAAAGTTCAAAAACTTTTCTGTTTGAAAATTCAGATTTCTTCGACATTAACAATATAAATTTCCGCAATCAACACGTGTTCAGTAAACCTTATCATTCAATCAATCAGTTTTTTTTGCAAAATCTTTATCACCAACCAATAACAAAAAAAAATAAGAAAAAATACAACAACATAACAAAAGAAAACTTCTCTTTCTTCTGTTCGAAAAAAATTAGTAACAAGTATGTTTTTCCCATTTCGCCGCGTTTAACGATCAATTACTATATGACTGACAACTCGAATATTGCTCACTTCGTTTTTCCGGAACATTTCTGAAAAAGCTAATTATTCAAAAATATTCTAAAGAAAACATCCAACTTTTAACGCTTTTTCGGTATTCTGAAACAACCGTAATCTGAATGAAACTATCAATCGCTGGATACAAAATGAATAATGGATTGAAGTCTCCAAATGGAATATCTATTTCAAGGTTCAAATAAGGAAGTGTTATTATAATAAACATTGGAAGATACATTGTTATCGCAGGAGATAAAATCTAAATAAACCATTACAATCAGAAATTATAACTGTCAAAAATAAAACCTGAAGATTCAACGAATTAAACAGTTGTTTTTGTATATTTTTATGTGCCACTGACATTCCGAGAGTTTTCTTCAGAAGGTGATTTATACGTATAGCATAATAAGATGAGAACAGAAATGGGATCACTATTGTTGAGCTGAGTAACAATGTGCATATTATGCATTTATAAGAGAATGGAGAACCGGGCTCCGAAAGCTGGAAAAATTAAATTTCACGGGATAATTGTTTGATTATAACTGACATACATAGTAATTGTTCATGAATGCTGCAATATCATTCAAACTACAATTATAATTGAAAAGCATTGTTTCTTTCAAATATGAAAGTGAATCCTCATCATCAGATGCAAAAATGAACAAAGCGAGTGCATAAACAAAAACACAAACAACATTGAAAAGAATCCACCAAACTAGACAACGTTTTTTATATTTCAAATTTTGTGAAATACTGTGAATAATTGTAAATCGGAAATAGAATAGAAGAGTTAGAAAAGATCCAGACAATGAAAACATCATTGAATAAATCATAATACAAATTTTGAGAGCCATAATATTGATTCCTCCAAAATCTCTCAAAGTGAAAAATATCAAAGAATGATTGTGAACATGAAAAAACGGTTGAATAATAATATTGGAAGCGGAAAACAAGATGCCGAGAAACGCGAAAAATGAGATTAAAATTTTATAAGTTCCCGCAATTGTTTTGATCCGAAACATTGTCAGATATATCAGGAATAAGTTAATGAACAATGTTATAGCAAATGTGTGAATAGATATTGTTTCAGTCCAATCGTAATGTTTTAGAGAAGCCATTCTGAAAGAAATACAGCAGAAATTTTTCTTATGATAATGAGTCTTCTGCGTCCAATTTGAAAGTGCGAAATTCAAATATTCTTTAATGGCCTGCCTTCTTTATTACCGTACTAATTATTCCCGAAAGACATATTTCAATGAGGTTTCTATGAGAGCGCAGTAAACACCATCCAACCATTGATTATAAATATCTCAACTGAATTGCAGCCGATCTATCATTACTTGTTAACATCATATCATCAACCAGTTCTGGATAAAAATTACACTGAAAAATATTATTTAAAAAAATATAATTTACTTTTCATAGAATGTCTGTATTCTGTGACACAGAAAATTTGAATAACACTGTCGATACTTGGGTAAAAACTGAAGAATGGAATTATCAATCCGGTTTCAAAAGATATTTTGAGGTGAACATAAGGCGCGACAAGAATCAAGATCATTGGGATATGGAAGGTCAATGAAGGAGCAGAGATTTGAAGAACCAAGGTGGTGAAAAACTGCTTCTGAAGTTTTCGGTGAGTTTCCGAAAATGAATTCAAGTTGTGTCTTAAAATTAAATGCATTCGGATTCCGATTACAAGCATTAATGAATATTGAGTTGTCAAATTGATAACAATCCCACCAGCACATAAAACACTTCTCCATCTAATTTCATTGGAAGAAGTCTATGAAAAAATTATCGAATATTATAAAGATAGAAAAAAATACTTACAAAAACTACCACCATAAAACTTGATATATCATCGATGTTCACGTTATATTTTTCAATCATTGTCTCACGAAAATAATCTTTAGATTCATTATCTGGTGATCCATAAAACCAAATTCCTCCTACGTGGAAAACTCCCCAAACGAGGCAGTATCCGATGAATATTAAAAAACGGCAACCTTTGAAGTATTTCACTTTTGGGTCGCTGAAGTTTTAAAGTAATTTGAAAAATATAACTATTACAAACCTATTCAGTATCATATATCGATAGATGTACTGAACTGTCATGAAACAAACCATTGTGGAAAACATTCCCGAGTACAAAAGTAAGAAGAAATCTAAAATAAGATTAGAAGCTCCATTCAAATTTTCAAGACTGAAATATATTAATCCGTTGTCAAATGAATAAAAATATGGATGGATGATATAATCGACAATTGAGAACAACAATCCAATTTGTGCAGATATAACAACCAGTTTTCTATAAGTTCCAACGATTCGTTTGACTCTCCAAATCGTTAGATAGATCAGAAATATGTTGACTATAATTGTGGTGATAAATCCTAGATTTGAAATAGTTCTTCCAATATCAAATAATTGGAGAGAAGACATTTTGAGAAACGGAGATGTCTGCAAGCAAAATTGTTTTTCAGGTTGTCAATTCATTGGGGATATTTGAAAGTGCTTTTAGTACTTTTTCAAGCTGTTGTCGTAAATGCTATTTTCGAAATATGAAAATGTGAACAAAGACAAACATCAGCTCTGGCATGTCAGAACAACAAAATAGTCGGCATCCATACAAGAAAACCTTTTCAGGTCCCCTTCTAGTCTTGCGCCAACTTTTTTTTTCGAAAAATACTGCAATTCAGTAATAATATTCAGTGACTTCAGTGAATCGACCCTTCAAAACAGCGTCCTGCAATCAGTTTCTCATTATAAGCCCTGGAACATGAGATTTTGGCGTATCAGAACTTGGTCAAGAGTCCTTTCCGGCAGCTTAATTTTTTGTATGTTGATTAGGATAAACTTCTCAAAACTCGAAGGTGGCCGTAAAAAGTTCCATTGTTAAAACTTATTTTTAGGTGTTTTGGAATGTGCCAATAATGATTTATGATGTAGAAAAGTGCGACAATGCCCGAAATATCCAACGGAATTTACATATTTCCTGTTTTTCTATCTTACATCAATGCTCTTGCAATACCATACGCTCCACCCAATACACTATCATTCTCTGATCGTAATTTAACCAATGTTACCTCTCCAACTCTACAGAACGGCAAAAATCTTTTCCGAGATAGGATTCACCCTCACTTTATTTTTCAACTTTTGTCTTATTTATATAACAATTTGGAAAATTAAAAAAATCTCTTTCACCTACAAAACATTGATTGTAATATATGCACAGATTGGGATATTATTCTCATTCGTTGATGTGACTATCCATCCATACTTTTATTTTCACAAACAATGTGTTGCGTATTTTTCATTAGAAACGGTTTATGGAACATCGATTGAATTTCGAACGGGTTTGCTTTTACTTTATTCATTGTTTTTCTCGTCAATCATGACATTTCTTGCGGTTCAATTTATTTTTCGATACTCGATAATAAAAATGTAAATTATCAGGTTGAATTGTTTAATTATTAAATCGGCACTTTTCAGCAAAACTTTGGAAGTTTGGTTTAGAGGATGGAAAATAACTTTCTGGATATTGTACACAATATTAATTGGAGTGATCTGGATGGTTTGTGATTACATTTTTGGCACAAAAAGTGAAGATTCATTGAATTATATGCGAGATGCTATGCTTACTGATTTTTACACAAATATAGAAGAAACACCAGGATTCTACTTTTTACCATGTGTAGGTTGAAAACAAATTGATAATGTCAGAAAAAAACTATTTCCAGTTTTTGGACAACAAACCAGATCAACTTCGATGGCAATGCATAGGTTTTATTATTGTGTTTAGCAGTATCTTTGTATCACAATACATTATTATTTTTTATTGTGGGATAAACATGTTCCGAGAATTGAACAAAGTCGTGTTCTTAAAATCAAAGAAATATCATCGACTGCAAGTTGAACTTTTTCGATCATTGGTATTCCAAGTAACTGCGCCTACCTTGATTTTTTATATACCGGCGATGCCAATTTTATTACGACCTTATATTCCGTTTGAAATCGACTTCCAAACTGGAGTTCTAGTTGCGTCTTTCGGTTTATATCCACCAATTGATAGTATCATTTTGATGATTGTTGTAACAGATTACCGAAAATCGATTAAAATCGTTTTCCTAGATTTATTCAATTGTGTTAAAACTTTGTTTGTCAAGATCAGATATTGTTGTTGAATTAACTCATTTTCTGAACAAAGCCGTGTTCTTAAAATTAAAGATTAGTGAACTTGAAATTTTATCTGTACAGAATTTCACTTCTGAAAACTACAAATCTCATAAAATTTCTGTTATAACTTTTGAAGTCAACAAAATTTTGTACTGCCCTTTTTTAAATCAGACGGAAAACGTGGGAGAGTTATATCCGTGTTATTTTTTGACAGCCGCCCTTGTTTTTTTAATAAACATTGTTTATCAATAAATGTCTAACAATCTTCGAAATTTTATGAAATACCAATCACAAAACTGAAAATGCAAAAGTTTGAAAGAAACAAATACTGTAAACTGAATGTTGATTGATCAACAAATTAATTATTGATATTTTTTGAAGTTGTGAAAACTTTGCTTCCTCGATCATGTGTAGCACTTTGAAAAACATTGCTTTCTTTCGAAAGATTTTTTCCGAAAATGGAAGTAATATAAAGACGATAAGGTGTAATATAATACAAATATATAATTGGTGATAATAGTGGTACTAATTCAAAAAACATATGAACCGAAAATTCGATAGCTGGTGATTTATAAACATTGCATTGTTCAATTGAGAAAGATGCGATGCCTAGGACAAAAAGTCCAGGAAGGCAGGCTTGATAAGTAAGCACCTGATTATGTAAATGTTTGATTTTGTAAGAAGAATTATGATACCTGTAGCAGTTTTCTATGCATAGATTTCGTTTCAGCTCGCATGTGCTCACTTTTATCTTTCAAAATCACAATTATTTTCGACCGTAACCTTATAATAATCAGATATATAATTAATGGAGCAAAAGTTGCTTGAAATAACGTGTAAGACGATGTACCTTTTCGAATGTCTAGATTTCCAGAAATCATATAAAGTTGAATTTGATATTCAGGAAAATCGGAATTTATAGCATTGTAAATTTCAAAAGGATCTCCTTCATTCACGTAAAATGAGATAAATTGAATTAATGATGGTATATAAGAAATTAGAAGAATAAATATAATGCTTCTAACTTTTGGTGTTTCTTTGACCAAAATATAATAACGATAAGCAAAAGATACAAGAAGTGAATATTGAGAATGGATAAATAAATGAAACATAAATGCATATCTTGAAATATTTTCAAATTTTTCTTGTTGGAAAATAATTTCGACAAACCACAAAAAACATACCCCATATAACATACACTGGATGAAAATCTATTACAAATTCCATAATTAATATGTGCTACAACATATCCTGATGGAATCATTCGAGGTTCAACAAAAATTGAAGCCAAAGAGGCCAGTAAATCGGTCAGTGCAAAATTAATTATCAAAATCGAATAGTTTTTTATAACTTGAGGAGATTTGAAAACTGATAAGAAAAGAAGAGTCAAATTCAGAAATACAGCTAATGTTCCAGTGAATCTCATATAAATTTTGAATATAACATCCATTTTGAAATTTTTATCGGAAAAATACCGAGAAGTTGTTTTTGTTATGAAGTTTGGTCTAAAAAAAAGAAAAAACACACGCTGGAAAATTAATTCCTACAAAAAGTTTTGGGAGAACATTAATCTAGTTTCAGACAAATGGCAAAAACTGATCAGAATATTTTCGAAAAGAAAAATGAATGTGATTTCCAAGTATTTCTGACTAAAATATGAATAATTTTACACAAGACTTTCTCTGAAAATAAATTTTTTGATACAATTTCAAGTAAATCAGTAGAAATGTGGCATGTGCTTTGATCAAAATAATGAGGGCAGCCAAAATCAAGCAATTATTTGATCTTATTATTAAACTAAGCGTATTTCAGTCCATTGGTTTGGAAACTAGACAACATTACAGTAGTGGCCAAAAAGCTATCACCTTTTTATTTTTTGCTATAAATCACTTCAACTATATCGGATTGGGCTCAAATTTTTTTCTGAGCTATGTGGGTGACTAATGAACATATTTCGAAGGTATTTGTCGAAAAAAATTTTTTTGATGGATCTTCAGATCATTGAAACTGATTTTCAGGAATCTGAATATTTTCACTTTTTTTCAAAACTGACCGGAAAACTTCGAATTGGCGGAAAATGATAGAATTACTCAATTTATGTCATAGTAGACATATCTGGCTTTCGATTCCGACCATAATCTTGAATATTCATTCATTGTGAGATCTATTCCGATGGTTTCAGTGAGACCATCTAGAAAATCTGAAATGTCTCAATAAATCGATTTTCATGACTGATTATCGTCGGATATTCAATAAAACACTTCAATTTGATCATTTTCTTTCTTAAACTTCATTTTCGAATCGAAATCCGATGTTTTTTGTATGATTTTGACATTGATGGAATTCCGATCTTTGTCTAGATCTTCTATTCTAGACCATCGAGCACATCAAACATTGATTTTAGTGATGAATTTTATGCTCGAAGTGTTCAGGAATACGTTTGACAAAACATTTCACCTTTACAAACATCAGTGGTCTCATATGAGATCATTGAAAACAAAACTGCACTTTTGTGAAGAAAACCAATGGAAAACACTATGAATTTGAGAACTTTTTATTCAACGGTGCTTATTTCAAGAGTTAGGCTCAGCGACCTTGAAGTCGATTGTGGCACATAAACAGAATCACATTGATAACAAAATACAACATCAAAATCAATGTTTGATGTGCTCGATGGTCTAGAATAGAAGATCTAGACAAAGATCGGAATTCCATCAATGTCAAAATCATACAAAAAACATCGGATTTCGATTCGAAAATGAAGTTTAAGAAAGAAAATGATCAAATTGAAGTGTTTTATTGAATATCCGACGATAATCAGTCATGAAAATCGATTTATTGAGACATTTCAGATTTTCTAGATGGTCTCACTGAAACCATCGGAATAGATCTCACAATGAATGAATATTCAAGATTAGGGTCGGAATCGAAAGCCAGATATGTCTACTATGACATAAATTGAGTAATTCTATCATTTTCCGTCAATTCGAAGTTTTCCGGTCAGTTTTGAAAAAAAGTGAAAATATTCAGATTCCTGAAAATCAGTTTCAATGATCTGAAGATCCATCAAAAAAATTTTTTTCGACAAATACCTTCGAAATATGTTCATTAGTCACCCACATAGCTCAGAAAAAAATTTGAGCCCAATCCGATATAGTTGAAGTGATTTATAGCAAAAAATAAAAAGGTGATAGCTTTTTGGCCACTACTGTATGTATATTTTTTTTAGAAGAAGTCACGTAGATCCAACAAGGAACAGATATTTAGAAAAATAAGTTCAAATTTCACCAGAAATCACGTGTGAATCAAACTAGTAAAAAGTAACTATATTTTTATGGAACCAAAAATTCTCCTGAATTTCACCTGTTTCCTGAAAAAATCATAAAAATACAGACAGTTTTCCGAATAATTTTTTTCAACTAAATTGAGTTTATTGTATTTCTCTTGGATAGTGAAGCTTAAAACAATCCTATGAAATTTCAATCAGGATTTTTCGATATTTTTTGAATACTACTTTTTTCCCCTCTGTAATATTCAAAATTGATCTTTGAAGTGCATGACATGAAATACCCAATTAAGAAGGGCATTCAATACCAAGTCACATAGCTACACATAATGCATGTTTCTGCTTTTGCGCAAAAAAACTTTTCCGAATAATTCAATTGCATTTCCTAATAGTTTACTCCCAATCACAAGCCACATAACCAATTATTATTTTTCTCTTGTTTTCTGAGATTTAATAGCCACTTCTAATATATTCGAGAAATATACTATTCATTCAGCTTTTCTTCAATAAAAATGCAAGATGAAGTTCTCCTATACAAAATCTATATAAACACTGCCAGTTTGGTAGCGATATTTCTCAATGTTTTACTCCTTCTTTTGGCGATTTTCAAATCGCCGCCTTCTATGAAAACCTATTCAGTGTTGGTGATTAATTTTGCGATTTTCAACACAATTTCTGCTGTTTGTCAAGGTTTCACTCAATTGCGACTTATTGGAATTGATGATAATATTATTCATATTGCTTATGGAATGTGTCACGGACTTGGACCCAAATGGTGCTATACAGTGTAAGTATTATTTTCTCTCTCGTAAATAAATACTTCCATAGGTATGCAATCATGCTTCATACTCTTACACATACTGAATGGTGCACTTGGCTCAGTTTCCATTTCAGTTGCTACACTTTACAACATGGATCGTTTGACGTGAAGAAATTTATAAAAATTCTGATCATATTTTATATTCCATCATTAATTCAACTTGTCACATTTCTCCTTGGTGGTCAACCTTTGGACAATCTTTTATTCGAGATTTATCGATATTACCCACATTACAAAATTGAAGTAAATCAAATAACAGGAAGAATCATTTTATCATCTGTTCTAATTGGATATACAGTTATACATTACATAATGGTGCCGATCCCAATTTTAATTGCAGTTTTGATTATCAAACGGAAAATTATGAGATTCCTCAATAATCAAGCACAACACTTGAGTGAAAATACAAAGAAGGTTCACAAACAATTTTTCGAGGTTTCGAAAATATTTTCTATTAGAATTAAATTATTTTTTTAAAGGCTTTAACTTTCAACGCAATTCTACCCGTAGTCTTTGTTGCGAATGGTGTTGTTTTCTGGATAGTGAAAAACATGGAACTAACAAGTCCAATAATGGAATGCTTGAATACTGTAATATTATCAACTGTCCCAATTATTTCTCCATTGTTCTATTTACTATACATTGTTCCATATCGAAAAGCATTAATCGATTGCCTGCTTATGCGTATATTTACGAAAAAATCAATGACTTCAAAAGTATCACAAGATTCCAGATCATAGATGTTTTGTTATTTGGTTTCTAACACCTTTAATCAGTTTTATCTTTCGAACTCCATCAGCTATCCAAGTTGTGAGTTGCTCAATATTTCAACTTTAAGTAATACATTTTTTTAGGTTGCATTTCTTCTTCCTTCACACCCTTTGAGCATATTCTATTCTACAATTTCACACACTTATCCAGAATATTCAATTAAAGCAGATAAAATCAAAAGAACGTTACAGTTGTCATTATTTTCAACATTTTACACAATTTCTAATGTCTTTTACCCCAATTCCTATTAATGTTACTATTGTATCGAAAAACAATTTTAGTTCTCACTAAACGTCAAACAACACAAATGAGATTTAGAAATTGTGTTGATCATGAGTTTTCGTTGCTAACACACAATTTTCCTTAACCTATAATCAAATTCGTTTTGCCATTTCCATACTCAATAAATAATCAGTGTTTTGTTCCAATGGACTTCATCGATTTTTTCGAAGTTTATATGAGCATTTCCAGTTTTTTCGGGATCTTTTTCAATTCCGTTTTGTTTTTCCTTGCAACATTCAAATCGCCAGCAAGTATCAGAGCATACTCTGTGATTCTAATCAATTTTGCTACTTTCAATATACTATCTTCTGTTTGTCAATTTGCAACAAAAGTTAGACTGATAATGTTGAGTGAATCGGTTGTTGTAGTGTCATATGGATTTTGTAATGCCTCAATATTTGAGTATTGTTACGACGTGTAAGTGATTTCTAATTTATTTTGAACGATAAGATATAATTAGTTTCTACAGATACGCTTTCATGTTACATGCATTCAGTCACATTCAATGGTGTACACTCTCAAGTTTCATATTCAGTTATAAAGTTTTAAAGAGTGGACAAATCGGTCGGATTGAAATTTCGATAAAACTATTGGGCTTCTACATCCCCTCAATTTTTCAATTTGTGAGTAACAAAAAATCACACCTGCACAGGCGTTTCCAAACAGAACACTGTACACAAACTTCTCAGAAGTTTATTGAGCAGATTTTGATGAAAAATTGAATAAAATCAAAATGTTACACTGAAGCAAATCTGATAAAAAAAAATGAATTTGGAAAAAAAATGTTTTTTTAGGCATCATTTGTAATATTCTATGAACATTCTCCAAAAAACATCGAATTGGCACTTATTCAAAAACATATAGAATATATGAGTAATCCTGATCAAATCATAGGCTACACCGTATTGAAATCCTTTGTCACAACTTACACAGTCATCAACATGTCTTTTTTCCCATTTTTGATATTTATTGCAATTCTCATAATTCGTTTCAAATGCATGCAATTTTTATCGGATAAAAGCGAGAATTTGCAAGAAGAAACAAAAAAACTACATAAACAATTCATAAAGGTGCAAAGAACATTTCGCTCTATAAAATTCAAACTTTTCATTGCAGGCCCTAACATTTCAAGCATTTCTACCCTTTTTATTCGTTTTGAATGGCATATGTTTCATGTTGTTACGAAATTTGAATCAATCGTCTTTATTTATTGAGTTATCAAATACCCTTCTTTTTTCTTTAACACCTCTAATTTCCCCCTTGATGTACATTTTCTACGTTGCACCATATCGAAACACATTAATTCATTTCTTCAAACGTCAAAAACAATAAATTTTTATTATTATTTGATTATTTTTTTCTTCCAATTGGAATCTTTTTTCTCACTATAAAACACACAATTTCTTCCTTTTCGAAGATTTTTTGTGTTTTTTTCTTCCTGTAAATGTTTTTGAAAAAAAAACATAATAACTTGTGTTTGCAGGAATTCTTTTGAGTGTTTAGTTTCGGGGTTCAACAATGTTTTTGTCAATATTTCTGATCATCGCAGTTGTATATTGTAATGAAAATTCGATTCTATCAAACGAAATCGACGAAAAAATCAATGAAGGAAAAAATTCCAATAATTCTGCCCCGTCATTATTATTAGCTCAATTGGTAAGATCATTTTCCTAATATTCGTAACGTAAAACTACAAAAAAACTGCTTCAATCTAGATTTGGCGGCACGGTGATCGTTCACCATTTGGCACATATCCAACGAATATTCACGGAGAAGAATTATGGGCAAATGGATTCGGAGGATTGACTGAAATTGGAATGTTTCAACAATTCCAGCTAGGAAAATTATTAAATTCAATGTATATCAATTCACCAACTCCACTTTTGAGCAAGAAATACAACCCAAAGGAGATTTACATAACTGCCACTGATTTCAATAGAACAATATCATCAGCAATGTGCAACTTGGCTGGAATGTTTGAAAATGGAGAACCTGGAAAAGATCACCCAAATCAAGTTCAGTGGCCACGAGGTTGGACACCAATCCCTGTTCATATAACAGGTAAAAATGATGTGAGTTTTCGAATATATGAGTCTAAAGTTCGATCATTTTTTTTATAACAAACAAACTCTTCGAATTATTGATTCTAACGTTGATTCAATTATCGACAATAATTTTTCAACCAAAATGGTTAAACTTTTAAATATTCCAGACATCTAACCCGAGCGCGTATTGTCCGAGATCAACAGAAATTCTAGACGAAATTAAAAACGGAACAGAGTTTTCGAAATTCATTACTGACAATCAAGAATTATTCAATTTCTTATCTAACAAAACCGGAATGAAAATTGGAATTGATGAGGTGTATCTTATCAATGATGTACATTTCATTTACGTGAGTTTGAATCTCTAAAACCACACAGAAAAACTATTATTTTCTATAGGATCTTTACAACATGACTCAACCAGACTGGTTCACAAAAGACATTCAGAAAAAAGTTCTTAAAGCTGCTCAAATTGCTGAACACTTTTTGAGTGGAGTTGTTGGCGAAAAATCGAATGTCGAATATATCAAACTTCGTGGTGGACGAGTTTTGAAAGGAATTATCGATCGAATCAACATGAAATTAGATTGTTTGAAAAAATCAAATTCCGGAAAAGAATGTGATTGGATTTCAAACCTTAAGTACCACGCATTTTCAGCGGTATAGAAATTTATTGAAACTTTTCGCAAAGAATTTTTTCAGCACGATTCAACAATCATCGCAATAATTTCAACATTGGGAAGTCAGCAAAAAATACTTGGAGGTAAAATTCCTTCCTATACCGCATCAATTGCTTTTGAACTTTGGGATATTCCTGGAAAAGGACCAGCAGTGAAAATTCTCTATCATAATTCGGTCAATGAAAAATATACAACAATAACTCATTTGATCGAAGGATGCCCGGAAACAGAATTCTGCGATTTGAAAACATTCCAAAAACGAAGCGAACAATTTCTTCCAAAGGATATCGAAAAAGAATGTCGAGCTCAAAATTGGGTGATTACAGAATAATTGTATTATTTTCTTTAATAATAAAAATATCAACCGATTTCTTTGAACTCGTGATGTCAAAAATTCATAATTTTGGATCACGTGTTTTTCCTTACTGAAATTCAATTTTTCAGAAAAAAAGCGGAACTTCTTCCAATTATATATAACAAGTTTTCCCAAAAAAAAAGACAGTAAATTATAGATTTGTCTAGCTGGATTTCTAATATCTCAAAAACAATTTCTTGAAAGTTCTAGTGCTTTTTGGTTAATATTATTTTTCTATACACATATAAATCGACAGAAGTCTAGCTTGAGGAAAAATGCAAGAAATGGTGATTTTTCAAATCTACATGAACATCACTTGTATTTTTGGCATTTTCTTCAACGTTCTTTTATTATATCTATCTATTACAAAAAGTCCCCCAACTCTTCGCACATATTCAATTCTAATTATAAATTTTGCGATAGCGGATATGCTTACATCTATATGTGCATTGTTTACACAACAAAGATTGATACCACTAGACAATAGTATGGTCCATATTTCCTATGGAACTTGTTGGATTTTTGGACCAACGTGGTGTTATGGAGCATATAGTGTTGCATTACACTTTATTTCACATTCTCAATGGTCAATCTTATTGAGTTTCTTATTCCGTTACTATGTCTTACGTTATGATGTTCCAACAGTTCGTCAGCTTTTGATTGCGTTATTTATTTTTTATATTCCTTCAATGCTTCATTTTGTAAGATCATATATTTCGTTTTATAAAACTCGATTTATATTATTCAATTTCAGATATTATTCATGCTGACAATTGGTAATCCAATAATATTATATGAAAAATTGAAATTGAAATATTCAAATTACAATATAATAATGGACCAAGTTACTGGAAATGGAGATATAACAAGTGTTTACACAATGTGTTGTATTTTACTGTTATCAATCTTACCAATTCCAATCCTAATGACTGTTCTTTGTGTTCGTTGGAAAATTATAAATATTCTCTATCACGAAACAATTCATCTTCGAGACGCTACAAAGAATCTTCAAAGACAATTAATCAAAGTAAGACCAATTTGTATATGTACATATTAGTTTCAAATTTTCAGGCTCTGACGATTCAAGCAGTTCTACCATTCCTATTTCTTTGTGCCGTTATAATGTTCAATCTAGAGAACAGTGGTGTTTTTTCCAATCCAATTTTAGAATGTTCAAATACCGCTACAACAGCTCTAATTCCAGTGTTGTCACCGTTGATTTATTTTTACTATGTCGGCCCATATCGCAATGTTTTTAAGAATTTTTTCGGTTTAGATCAACAACAAAAAGTTTTCATAACGAGAACTTCGAGAAAGTTTGAACTTCCTTCCTGAATATTTCATTTTCCATAAAGATTTATTGTTTGTACTAATCTTATATTCACAAAAATAAATCATATCACCGTCTAATAACAAACAAATAGTAGTTTATAGCCATAAACACAAGTACACGGTTATTAGGTTAAGCTGAATTTATTGAGAGTACAAAACAATGGGATATTTCATTACTATCGCATTCCAAATGTTCCACGCAATATTCGGTTTTCTCGGAGTTTTTCTGAATTCTCTGCTTTTATATATTTCTTTGTTTTATTCTCCACCGTGGATAAAAACTTATTCAATTTTAATAATTAACTTCGCATTGACCGATTTACTCGCTGCGGCATCATCTGCATTTCTAGAGGCCAGGTTTGATTAATTGATGTTTCATCAAGATACAATAAAATTCAATTCTATTGCAGGTTAATCCCAGTTGGTGTGACTCTTGCTCAAATCTCGTATGGTCCGTGTAGTTATCTTGGACCTGTTTGGTGCTATGCTGGATACGGTGTAATGTTTCACTTATACGTATTTTCCCAATATTCACTAGCATTATCATTTTGTTATCGATATTATATTCTGTTGAAAACTGCTCCACGTCCAATGATAATAGTTTTTTGGTTATTTGTTGTTTATATCCCTCCATTTTTACAATTAGTAAGTCTATAATTAGAACTAGACAAACCATGCTGACCAAAAATCTTACAAAACTTGTTTTTTTGCAGTTTTCATTCATGTTCAATCGTGATGATTCTCAACAGATCTACAATGTTCTAGAAGTAAACGGTTTAGCTGAACCTGACATGACTGTTTCGATGATAACTGGCAATTTGAATGTTGCCGATCCTACTGGAATGTTTCCAATTTTACACATGACATTTTCCCCGATCCCAATATACATAACAATTTTGATTGTTCGTGCAAAAATAGTGAAAATGTTGAATAGCATGAGAGAACATTTACGAGAAGAGACTAAACAGTTACATAGACAACTTTTGAAGATCTTATCTTTTCAAGCTGCTCTCCCCATCTTTTTCGTAATTGGTGTTATACTTTTCACCATCGAAAACAACAATATTTTTCGCCATCCAGTGTTAGAATTCTCAATCTCATCAGTTCAAACAATGATCCCAATCCTCTCTCCAATTCTATATTTCTACTACGTGAAACCGTATCGCAAAAAAATGGCAAATCTACTACATCTGAAAAACTTCAGAAAAAGCGGAAATGGAAAAGTAGGCGCTGTTTCTGTATCTGGTAAAAGCAGTTTCCAAGTCGTGAATCCGATTTAAACTACATAAATCAACTTCTTTATTAGTAATGATATTGTTATTACATACATGATGTAGCCATGTGTAAAATTGAATTTTGCGCCATCTCAGTTGTTGATTAATTAACTAATAACTTCAACAAAACATAAACCCAAGCCGTTCAAAACAGCGTCACGGTTCATTTTATTTTGGAAAAAATGCCACTAGAAATATAAGTTTTCCTTTCTTTTTTTCCTGAAAAACAGATACAACTTGAACTTTCTTTACTCGAGTAATGAAAATATGCCAAACAGAAAACATTTCTCGTGGGATTCTCACATGTTCTGCCAATTCACTTTCTTTGAACTTTTTTTTATTATAAGAATAAAATGAATGCCCCCTCACCTAATCAGAATCAAAATTCAATTACCGTGCAACTCAAAAAATTCGTTATTCAATTTTTTTACACATTTTTTTGAAGGATGGAAGTAATAACAACATTCAAAGTTTATAGTACAATTACTGGTGTTCTTGGTATTTTTCTAAATGCAATATTACTGTACTTGGCAGTTTTTAAATCACCATCAACTTTGAAATCTTATTCAATTCTAATTATCAATTTTGCCATAACTGACCTGCTCGCTTCGATTTTCACTCTTATTGTTATGGCAAGATTGGTGCCAATGGGCACAGCGACAGCTCAGATCTCGTACGGATTATGCACTTTATTTGGGCCGACTGTTTGCTATATTGGGTAAGTTTCATAGTCTTAATGCGAATGTATCATAAAATTGTTCAGATGTGGTTTAATGTTTCATTTTTTCGTTTTTTCGCAATATTCTCTTCTCTTATCATTCAGTTATCGTTATTATATTTTGGAAAATCCCTCACCTAAAGTTAAAACAATTGTTGGCCTCATATCAATTATTTATCTTCCTGCACTTTTTCATGCTTCATGTTTTATGTTCAATCAATCAGATGCACAAGCCGTTATGGATATTTATTTAGAACTTTATCCAAATGACACAATTGTGCTAAACCAAGTCACTGGGAATTTAGACACAACTAGTTTCACAGCAACATTCCCTGTTCTACACATGGTTCTCTCCCCGATTCCAATTACAATTTCAATTCTTATCATTCGCCGGAAAATTATAAAAGTTCTTCAAAAAACAATGGAACATTTGAGAAAAGAGACAAAAGCGTTGCATAAACAACTTCTTACTGCTCTAACAATTCAAGCTGGTCTTCCAGCATTTTTTGCATTGGGTGTTTTTATGTTCGCACTGGAAGGTGCAGGATTAGTTCAAAATCCTGGTATAGAATGTATAATTTCTGCTTCCGAATGTATAATTCCAGTTTTATCACCAATTGTCTATCTCTATTTTGTTTCACCCTACCGACGTGCTCTGCTAAAAATAACAGGAAATGCTCCAACTGTTTCAGTATCTGAAGTCACAATCACCGTAACATCAAATGTTCAGAAAGAAAAAACAATAACAACGGTTACAAATTGATAGTTGTTTGACTATTTCACCAGAATTTCCGTAAAAATAAATATTTTCATCTTTTCTAAAATTACAGTGTACTTATTATGTAGTTTTTATTTTGTAAAGCTTTTATTTTCAGCTTTTTGTGAAGTTAGAAATAGCCTCTTCTTCAGTAAACTATAGTTTTGTTACAATAAAGTCGGCTATGAACAAGAAAATGAAAAACAACCTATTTGCGTCAATGTTGGGCTCAAAAAAGATAATCTAATTATTTATGAGTAAATATTTATGTTTGTTTCATTTGTTAATTAAGAGTGACAGACAATTTGAAAAAAAAAACGTGATAACATTTTTGAATACATTTTTTTGCAAATTCGTGGAAATGGAAATCAACATGTAAGTTAATTTTTTCCGGTTGTCAAACCTCATTTTGAACGTGAAATTACAGGACTGAATTTGTTTCCATTAGTCAATTTTCAAAACTAAAAATTATAGTGTTTCGTATTTTTTAGACATTTACAGTGCGAAATTTTTCCGTAGGAATTTTCTGAATTTTGTGTTGTTTCAATATAGGATTTCGGAAGACTGTGTGGGAAAACGCAAACCATAAAACCTTTTTCTGATCTTTGCATATTGCGTTATACCAGCTGAAAATTATAATTAATATTCCAAGAAAAAATACCTGATTTCTGAAAAACAACCTAGGAGCAAACTATAATTCAATAAACCTAAATTTTTGCAATAATTTGATAAACTAGCTATTATTCCAAGAAACGTGATAAACTTAATTACCAAAACATTTTCCCATGCCGGAATCAACAAATCAACAAAGTCTAATTCATCGTTCGACTCTATTTTTGTTACTTTATTTGTTGTTGTGTTAGACAAAAAACAATTAATTTTTTGGCAATCATTCCCAATATTATATTATTTTTGAAGGATGGATATTATAACAATCTTCAAAATCTACAGTACGATCACTGGTGTTTTCGGAATTTTTCTAAATTCAATATTATTGTATTTGGCATTTTTCAAATCACCATCAACTTTGAAATCTTATTCAATTCTAATTATCAATTTTGCTATAACTGATTTGCTCGCATCAGTTTTTACACTTATTGTTATGGCAAGATTAGTTCCAATGAGTACCGCAATTGCACAAATCTCATATGGGTTTTGTATATTTTTTGGTCCAACTTATTGTTATGTTGGGTGAGTGTCCCATGTCCTACATATTGCAATCTTCAAGCTCATACATTCCAGATTCAGTATCATGCTTCACTTATTCGTTTTCTCACAATATTGCCTTCTATTATCATTCAGTTATCGTTACTATATTCTTGAAAATGCTTCACCAAAAGTTAGAACTGTTGTTTATCTTATTGCGCTTTTCTATATTCCTGCATTGATTCATGCGGCGTGTTTCATGAATGGTGAATCAGATGCGAGAGAAGTTATGATAATATATCAGAAGCTTTACCCTAACGATACAATTGTTCTAAACCAAGTCACTGGCAATTTAAACACCCGAACTCCTACTGCAACTTTCACTGTTATGCATATGATTCTTTCTCCAATTCCCATTACAATTTCAATCCTTGTTATTCGTCGGAAAATTATCAAACAATTAGAGAAAACAGTGAAACATTTGAGGAAACAAACACAAGCATTACATAAACAACTTCTAACGGCTCTAACAATTCAAGCCTGTCTTCCCGCATTTTTCGCTCTAGGAGTTGTCATGTTTGCTCTCGAAGGCGCTGGAATCGTAATGCATCCTGGTATTGAATGTATTATAAGTGCTTCTGAATGTATAATTCCAGTTTTGTCTCCCGTTCTATATCTCTATTTTGTATCACCATATCGACGTGCTCTTTTACAAATAACAGGAATTGCTCCAACTGTTTCAACTTCAGACGCCAGTATGACTGAACATTCCACAGTTGTTCAAAAAGAGAAAGGAATTACGTCTATTCATAATTGAATCAAACAATAAACAATTTCCCGAATGTTATATTTTTTAACAACAATAAATGATTCATTGTGACAAAAGTATAGAGAATTTCAGTCACAAGGTATTTTTTTTCGAAAATTTTAATCCTTTCGTAATATTATTTTTCAAAATGGCTTCTGTTAAAATCATCCTCCCACCGGTTAAATTTATCGAAACAGGGCTTCTTCGAAATTCGAAGCCTCTCATTTCCATCTCCGTCAGCGCAAAAAAAATGCGGATACTTTTTCTATTTTTTTGCACTTTCAAAAGCGCTGTTCTTCCTAACATTCTTCAAGTCGGTCTTCTGGCAGCTGATACAAATAATACTGAGCTCGGATCGGTTAGTTTTCAAAATTAGTTTATTGATAGAATTAATAATTTTAAAGTTCATCGGATGGGGAAATGTTGCTGGTTCTTTGGGTGTTGCATGGAATCGTATTCAAGAATATCAACTTTTACCAACCTACGAAACTATGAAGTAAGATACTTTTGAAATGAATGAATTTGAAATATATTTTCAAGTAAAACAATTGTTACTTCAAAATCTATTTTAAACTTATTCAAATCAATAAAACATTTTAGCTTAACATGGGTGCTTGGAAATTGTCAAGAAGATGCATCAGCTGGATCAATTATAAATTATGCCGAAGGAAAAGCTAACGTTGTCTTAGGACCAGCATGTACAAGACGTTAGTGTTTTAGAAAGAGAAACATTTGAATGTAAATCTAACCTCTCTCGTATTTTCAGCTGCTTTGGTTGGAGGCTCGGTTGCCAAATATCTGAATTTTCCCATCATATTATGGGGTCCACCATTCGATTCATCTTTATTAGACCAATATGAATATCCAACTGTTGCATCCACCACTTTCAGCACTTTATAGTTTGTTCATTTCGAAAAACTAGATTTGAAAAAATTAAAACATTTTCAGCCAAGCGAAATCTCTAATGAGATTGTTAACTTATTTTCAATGGACAGAAATCGCAATGATCTACTATGTAGCAAGATCAGATCTTATTCCACGATGTTCTCCTTTGATTACTGATTTTGAATCTTTGGCAAATGACAATGATAACATAACTATAACTTATAGAAGACAAATGAGTGTTATAACGAATACAAGTTTTGCGACTGCTTTAAAAAATGTTAAAGATTTAGCAAGAAGTTGGTGAAATAATAAGATTATATTTTTAAACGTTGTAATTTTTCAGTTGTGATAGTTTGCCTAGAAAGTGATGAGGCAAGAAGAAATTTGATGATTTCAATAGCTGAACAAGGAATGGATACAAATGAATATGTTTATTTGATGGTTGAATCTCGTCGATCTGGTTTCACTTCAAAATTTTGGAATGGTACAGATGGAAAAAATGATTTGGCACTTCGAGGTGCTAGGAAATTTTTATTGATGGATACTCAGAAATATAATGATACTACGGCTTTTTCACAAGAAGTTATAACAGCTTTCGCCAATTCTCCATTCAACTGCCCAAGTTGCAATGATATAGGTATTTGATGAACAAATCAATTTTTTTTAGGGTTGGAAAAACAGTGTATTTGCGTACACGGATACACGCGCAGCCAAATACACGAATACACGGTACACGAATACACGCGATACACGAATACACGGATACACGAATACACGCAATACACGAATACACTGTACACGAATACACGGTTTTCTTCTCTTCTCAAGCAATTTATAAAAAAGCGTGTATTCGTGTATTCGTGTATTCGTGTATCCGTGTATTCGTGTATCCGTGTATTCGTGTATCGCGTGTATTCGTGTACCGTGTATTCGTGTACTGCGTGTATTCGTGTACCGTGTATCGAGCGCGTGTATCCGTGTATTTTTTTCCAACCCTAATTTTTTTACTTTTTTTAAATTCACAGATCCCGTATCTTCACAAGTTGGCCAACTCGGAGATGCTCTTCTACTTTATGCTTACGCATTAAATCGTTCAATGGCTGCCGGAAAACCAACACCAACTGGAACAGAACTCTGTGATTATGCAAGAGGATTGAATTTTAAAGGATTCACCGGAACAGTTACTATCAATGATAACTCAACCCGAATACCGTTGTTTATTGTTTATAATTTGGATGATACTGACGCCGAATTCTCTATCATGCAAATTTCCGAAACTCTCGATGATGACACGGATCCGGTAAAATAATTATAAAGAAAAAATGAAAGAATAATTCGTTTCACAGATAAAAGTGCTGGTTACCGCTTCAAGAATTTGGCAAACTTGGGGTGGATCAATTCCATTAAGTACACCACTTTGCGGGTTTACCGGGTTAGCTATTTCAAAAAAAATGTTTAGAGCAAAATACTTTTTTTAAGCGACGACTGTCCAAAATCGTGGACTGAACAATATTTGGCAATAGTTTTGGGTAGTTCTGCAGCTGGTGTTGTTCTTGTGATTGCAATTGTTGCTTCCATCGTGTTTCTAATTCGAACAAAACGAGCAGAAGAGGAAAGACTCAATCAATTGTGGCAGGTTCATTATGCATCTTTGAACAAACCTCCGCAGAAAAATATGCAAAGTTCAAGAAGTTTGCAAAGTACAGTGACGACAAGTACAAAAGTTACAATCAATTCAAAAAAGGATACCGAAAGACATGCTTTTTACTTCCTCGGAACAGATTCTGTTGTTGCTAGAAAACACAATTTCCGTGCAAACTTCACAAAATTAGACAGAGCTCTGTTCAGAAAGGTGAATATTGTTCAAAAATTCAAAAAAATTTCGTCAATTCCAGATGCGAAACGTTGATCATGACAACATTTGCAAATTCATTGGGTTATCGTTAGATTCGCCAGTTCTTATATCAATTTGGAGATATTGTTCAAGAGGTTCATTATCAGATGTTATAATGAAAGGAGGTCTCCAAATGGATTGGTTTTTCAAATATTCTTTGATGAGAGATGTCTCCGAAGGTCTTTATTATCTTCATCATTCACCAATTGGACCACATGGTTGGTTGAGTTCTTCAACATGTTTGGTTGATGAACGTTGGCAAGTAAAAATAACATTCCATGGGTTAAATGCAATTAAAAATTTCGAAGTCAAAGAATTGAAAGATATGTTGCACACAGCTCCAGAGCATATTAGAAATCCTGCCTTGGACCCAACGAAAGAAGGTGATATTTATGGATTTGCAATAATTTGTAGTGAACTTATCACAAAGAAAAGTCCATGGGATTTGGAAAATGAAAACTATGACATTGAAGAACTAATTTATAAAATTAAAAAAGGCGGAAGAAATCCAGTTCGGCCATCTTTGGATACAGAAGAAGAACATAATGGGAGTATGTCTTTGTTAGTTCGAGATTGTTGGAATGAAAATCCAGAACAAAGACCAACAAGTGAACAAATCAAAACTCTTATGAAAAGTATGAATCATAATCGTTCTTCAAATTTGATGGATCACGTGTTTAATGTTCTAGAACAATATGCCTCAAATTTAGAAGAAGAGGTCAGTTCCATCCGATCTAAAATTCATGAGTTCAGTAAATATCTTTAGGTTCAAGCTCGTATGAAAGAACTGACAGAGGAGAAAAAAAGAAGTGATATTTTACTGTATCGAATGCTCCCAAAACAAGTTGCTGAAAAATTGAAACTGGGTCAATCTGTCGAGCCGGAAACATTTGATTGTGTTACGATTTTCTTCTCCGATGTTGTATCTTTCACAACTTTAGCTAGTCGATGTACACCTCTTCAAGTTGTCAACTTGTTGAATGATCTTTACACAACTTTTGATGCAATCATCGATAATCACGATGTTTACAAAGTTGAAACAATTGGTGATGGTTATCTGTGTGTTTCTGGTTTACCACATCGAAATGGAAATGAGCATGCAAAAGAAATCGCAGAAATGTCATTCTCACTTCTTCGGGCTATCAAAACTTTCAGAGTTCCACATTTACCAAAAGAACGAATCAATATTCGAGTTGGTCTACATACTGGGCCAGTTGTAACTGGTGTTGTCGGTATGACAATGCCACGTTATTGTTTGTTCGGTGATTCAGTTAATACGGCAAGTCGAATGGAAAGCAATGGAAAGCGTGGGTTTATTCAATTAGTTTTAAACGATTAAAGAGCCTGATATTTTCAGCTGGTCGGGTTCATATATCAACTGAAGCAATGCTATTTTTAACCGAAACAATTGGCGGATATCAGACTGAGCCACGTGGAGAAGTTATTGTCAAAGGAAAAGGCGCTGTCCAGACTCATTGGTTATTAACCGAAGAAGAAATTGACGCAAAAAACAACATATAAATTAATCATTTCTTTACATCAATACAAACATTTTTGAATAAAGTTATCACATTATAACACTTTTCGAAAAATACCCAAATAATACCATCAGATAGAAAAAATAAAAAAGATAAAACTAGAAATGAACACACGAACAACAAAAATTTCTTCCGCAACAACAAAAAGTGTATGTGAAAAAATGATGTGTTGATGTCATTTTTTAAAACATTGTGTTACTATCAGATCTCGGTAAAAGCGAAGTTTTGAAAATTCGCCGTCGATAATTTGGCAATAAAAGTATAACTGCAATCGGATCTATTATAGGAAAAGCTGCAGTTGTGATAACTGCGACGCTTGCATGTTTTCCTATATCAACTTCTAAAATAGGACTATACCAACCAAGAACACACGGAAAAAAATTAGTGAAACACGGAATCAATGTTTGAATTATCAATGCTAACATTAACTGACGATGCAATCGTTTAGTAGTTGTGGAAATAGTTAAGTTCTGACGAAGTTTCCACATTATCTAAATTTTAAAATTTTCAAATTAGCTCAACAATGTAAAATTACTGTATAACCAAGAATGACATAGGTACACATTGCATAAGCTGAAATCGTGGTCAATAAAACAACACCAATCAAACATCTCGTCGAAGATTCTTCTCGAATTTTTCCCACATCTTGGAAAATTATAGCTATAAGAGGAATACTGTTCGAGTCAACTTGATATTTGATTTCAAAAAATGGTCGAACATAATTCCGAACGTCTTCATCAGAATATAGCGTGTTTTCAGATATGACAACCCACACAATAATGTGTAACAATAAGAATATGAAAATATTCAAAAGACCTGTTTTTGTAGAAAAATAGTATGTCCATTTCGGGCTGTAAGATGACGTTCTGTTTGAATCAGACCCTAAATTATTCACCTGAAAAGAGCCAAATATCTGTAAATAAAATGAACGACAAGTATGGCATAGGCTAAACCAATACATCCACATCTTATAGAAAGCATAACTTCGCCAATTTTAAGATAGTCAAAAAATATTCCGCCGGATAAAAATATAATTAGAGATTTTTCATAAACTTCGACAACTCCAGGAAGAATACAATCAATGACCGAACATAAAATATCGAAAATTGCGAAAAATGAAAGAATAAATCGATATGTCCCAAGACTACTCGAACGTTCCGTAACTATTAAAATCAGAAACAAAATATTCACATTTATTGATATGACTCCAAAAATTTTAGGAATGTAATAATGAACCCAATTGATGTACATATCAACGTCAATATCGATAAGAAAAATTAAAAATATTGATGAATCCAGAATATATAAAAACTAATTATTATTTGGAAAAGGGAAATCTCAAAGGAAAAAAATGGAAAAAATAAGCATTTAAACGAGTGTTGGATTCTCAGAAATTGATGCAATTTTTGCAATCTTTTTCCGCTTATAAATCCTTGATCGATAATTTGGCAACAAAATAATGATTGCGATTGGATCTATTATAGAACAAGAAGCATTTGATATCATTGAAAAATCAGCCGCTTTTTCAACATTCAACTTGAGAATAGGACTATACCATCCGAAAATTGTGGGGAAAAAACTAGTGAAACATGGAATAATTGTTTGAATAACCAATGCCCGAAACAACTGAGAATGTTGTTTTTTGGTTGTTGCTGATATTATATTATGTTCTCGAAGTTTCGCCATGATCTCAAATAATTGAAAATGACCTAAGTAATCAGTAGAAAAAAAACCTACTTTATAACCAAGAAAAACATACGATGATACCGCATATGTTGAAATCAATGTCAAACAAATCATCCCAGAATATCCTCTAATGTAAAGACTTTCAGAAATATTTTTATCATAAAAAACAGTTCCCATAAATGAAAAATTGCGCAAGCTCGTATTAAATTTGTTGAAAAAGGCCTCCTCATTATATTTTAAAATTTCCTCATCAGGATACATTAGTAATTGACAAACTGAGAACCATAACACACCGTGTAAAATGAAAAATATGAAAGCTAAAATCATTCCTTGCTTTTGAGAGAAGTGAAAAGTTATTCGAGGTCTGTAAAAATCTAAAAATAAGAAGAACTCCTGGTTGTACGAGAAAATGAACCTGAATAGAGCAATATATCTATAAAGAAAATGAATGACTAGTATTCCATAACCTAGACCGAAAAAACTTCCACGTATTGCAACAGGAATAGATCCAAAAGTTTTGACATCATTGAAAAATCCACCAGAGAGAAATGGGATTAGAGAACTCTTATTATTGAAAATCGCCATTGGCAAAATACAATCAACAAATGATAAAATGATGTTATAAGTGGCAAACGATGCCAAAAGATATCGATAAGCTCCCATACAACTAGATTTTTCCGAAAAAATCAGAAACATGAAAAACAAATTGAAAATAGCCGAGAAAACAAAGAATACCTTTGGAATATATTCATGAATCCAACTTATGAACATCGTAGAATTATTTAGTTTTAATGTTGTTGTTTTTTCGAAATAATTAATCAAATTGTTTTTCAAGACCGCCCCTCACGCGGAATTATTTAGAGTACATAAAGAAACTGGTAAACAAGTATAGATTCTCACGAAAATGTTTTCATAAGTGCGTACCAAGGGATTAATTTATTCTATATTCCAGATAACTTTTCCGGAAAATATTAAAATCCTTCCCAAAAAACTCACTTTTAATCATCGTTTCCTCTCTCGCACATTTGTCATTATTCCAACAAAATCCATTCAACCGAGTTCTGTGCAATCAACTTTGTATGAATCCTTTGTCGAATTGATGAAATCCTTTGTCGAATTTGGTGGAGAATAAGGGCATATCGACCTGAAAAAAAACAAAATAATTATTTAAAATATAAATTTTACGTGAATTTCCAACAAATATAGCGTGGAAAGATGCATTTTAATAATTTTTAGGAAAAATGTTCAAAAATGGCAAGAGAACGCTCTCCCGAACGCGTATACCAGCACTCCACACTCCACACACTCTCTCGTTTTCTCTCTCATCGGTCTCTTCAGCAAATCGCACTCTCTCATTTTTTTTCTTTTCTGTACAACAACTGTTTTTTTCTGAAAAATGCTGGAAATAGAATTGAAAAAACTTTTATTTGGTGTTCCGCCGGTGTTGGTTGAATGATAGACGAGCGTTGTAAACGCCCTATCAAAAGAATAGCAGCGCGCGTGAAAAGAGAGGCAGAAAGTTCGCTCTGGCGATCTAATTTTGCTCAAATGAATTCAAATATTTTTATTTCTGAACAGAAAAAAATAAAACGAATAATTTTCTGTGAGAAAATGTTTCAAAACCACCGGCCCACATAGAAAAAAAATAAAACATTGAGAGACGCAGACGAAAAAGAGTCAGAGAAGCAGAAGAATGTTCTAGAATGCGAAATTTTTCAATGGAAAATTGCGCCGAAAAATTGCATTTTTGAGAGGGCGGAGTCGAGGGTCAGCGAGCGGTCAGAAGGTTCTGGTGCATTTTTTTTTTCTATGTGGCACCGGTTGAGCACCGAAGCGCCACCTGTTAAATACCACAACTCCACCGGTTTCACACCGGTGGAAGAAAGGTGTTGAATGAGTGAAGATTTGATGTTGCGCCGGTGGGACGATTTGGCTGAGCGCAACATTTTTTTTTGATGAAACTAACCTTTGAAGATTTTTTGAGCTCATCACTTTGTTATTTAGAAAACAGCTGAAATGTCACACGTTAGATTTACGTGACTCGTTTTTTTGCGAAATTTTTCACACGTGTTTTATTAATCTATTTTTTGTGTGCAAAAAATTCATTTTTCAGATAAAAAATCACAAAAATTACTATCAAACTACAAATGTTGGATTTTCTGTGATGGAAGCAACCTTCGGCATATTTTTGTGTCTGAAAAGTCTTCGTCGATAATTTGGCAAAAGAAGAAGAATCGAAATAGGATCAATGATTCCGCAGGCTGCATTCATAGTGATTGCAATATCCGATGCTTTAACCAAATCAATTTTCAAAATCGGACTATACCATCCAATAATTGTTGGGAAGAAACTCGTGAAACATGGAATAATTGTTTGAACGACCAATGATCGAAATAATTGTGAGTGTCTTTTTTTAGTTGTTGAGGAAATTATGCTATGTTCACGCAATTTTGACATTATCTGAGATGAGGAAAAAACAATCACTTTTAGTTAATTTCTAGCATCAACAAACCTTATAACCAAGAAAAACATATGATAGAACAGCATAAGTTGAGATTAAAGTTAGGCAAATGAGTCCCGAATAACTTCGAGTGTATAAACTTTTCGAAACATTTTCTGCATAGAAAATGGTTCCAATAAATGGAACATTCGTCAAGTTTTCTTTGAAAGTCTCATAAAACGGTCCATTGTTGTAAATATACATTTCCTCATCAGGTCGAAGAAGAGTTTGACAAATCAACACCCAAAAAACTCCATGAGATATAAAAAATACAAAAGATATGGTAATTTTCATTTTATTTGAGAGAAAAAATGGGAGCCGAGGTCTAAAGTTGTTCTATTAATATTTTGTTAGACTCATTATTTATCAACAAAAATTACCTGAATAGCACATAATATCTGTATATAAAATGAATGACAAGAATACCATAACCCAAGCCAAAAAAAGCACATCGAATTGAGACCATAAGAGAGCCAACTGTTAGATTGTTCTCAAAAAATCCATCGGTTAGAAAAGCTATGGATGATTCTCCATAATTAAAAACAGCAATTGGAATTGCACAATCAACAAATGAAAACAAAATGTTGTATAAAGCGAAACACGCAAGAAGATATCGATAAGTTCCCAAACTACTCGATTTGTCCGAAAATGTCAAAAATATGAAAAAGATGTTCAAAAACGCTGAGATACCAAAAAATACAGTAGGAATATATTCGTGAACCCAACTGATGAACATTTTCGAGTGAGACAATTTCAGTTACTTTGGTTCTTTTTTTATAATTAAAAATGAGGTGAGAAAAACAACTTTGTTTTTTTCGAGAGATAGAGATTGAGAAAAAATAATAGTACGGGCTATTCATTTCGCATGGATCATTAGGAAGTGCAAATTAAGACGAAATATTTTAATAAGAACTTCTGAAGAACTTTTTATCTTTTTGTTATGGTAAAGTTCAAAATTTCGAAAATAGGCACTAATGAACAAAAACAAATTTTATTTTGAAATTTTCATGTAGTTGTTCTAATACTAGTTTCCACAGCAGTTTTTCTGAATCGATTTCGATAAACAGGAAGAAGAATAATAACTGCAACTGCATCTAAAAATGGAAAAGCTGAAAGTGCAACAACTCCAATATTTCCATAGTTCCAAATATCTATTCCAAATAATGGCAAGAACCAAACAAACATGCATGGAATAAATGATATAAAAATAGGAATGAGTGTTTGAATCACTAATGTTTTGAAAAGTTGACGATGAATTTTTCTCGTTTGATTTGATATTGTTTTCACATTTTGCAGTTTCTTCACGATCTGATTTATGAAATTTTTGTTTTTGTTTTTCCTTTTTCTAACCTTGTATCCTAGAATACAATATGTTGAAATCGAAAAAGCAGAGATCATAGTCACAATGAGACAAGCTATCCAACTTCGAAGCATTGCATTTTTATCAGTACTCCACCAAATAATATTGACAAATGATACTTTTGAGATATCTGTATTGTATCGTATAATGAAACATTCTCTAGCTCTATTTCGAGCTTCTTCGGTTTCGTACAAAAGTGTTTCACAAACCTTCAATGACGATATTTAAAGTAAAATACAACAAAATGAAAATGAAAACTTACTCCAGACCAAATTATGCCATGTGAAAGAAAAAATATAGACAAGTTGAAAATCCCTCGTTTGCTTGTGATTTTATCATTAATTTTTGGATTTACCAGAGCAAAATAACGATAGAAAAAATGAATGGTTAGAATTCCATAACTCAATGATATAAAACCGCATCGAATGGAAACTGCCAGTTGCCCGAGTGATAAATTCTATATGAACTTATAGATTACAATTCGAAGAAAAAAAAAAATTACCTCTTCAAAGGGACCACCGGGAAGATAAACTAGTACAAGAGAATCACGTCCAAATGCCGCCTTCAAAATTCAGAAATACGTTTTTCAACTGAAGTATAAAACTCACAATAGGAATAACTATCTCTATAATTGAATAGAATGAATTGAAAATTGAAAAAGCTAATAGAACAAATCGATATTTTCCAAGAACTTTCTTATTGTCAGAAACATTCAAATATATAAAAATTGGATTAAAAGTTAGAGAAAGTCCAAAAAATAACTTTGGAATATATTCAAAAGCCCAGTTAATGTACATTATTTACAGACCAATAATGTTATTAACAGGTGGTTTTTATGTATTTTCTCAGGAATTATCAGAAAATGGATCCAATTTGTATCTATTGTGTCTTTATTTTTGATACAATTTTTATCATGGAAAAATTTCAAACTACATAGAATGTACAGATGTAAATATTTTTGAAGAATGTGCTTAATTTGTGAACTTTTTATTTTAAAAAACGATTATGGTAAAATTGTCTTTACACTTGTCTCTCTATAGCTCGAGACTTTGAAACGATTTCGATAAACAGGAAGAAGAAGAATCACTGCAATTGCATCTAAAAAAGGAAAAGCTGAAAGTGCAACAACTCCAATATTTCCATAGTTCCAAATATCTATTCCAAATAATGGCAAGAACCAAACAACCATACAAGGTAAAAATGATATGACGAGTGGAATCAATGTTTGGATAACCAAAGTTTTGAAAAGTTGACGGTGTAATCTTTTTGTTTGACTTGAAATTGTTTTGGCGTTTTGAAGCTTTCTAACAATCTGATTTTGGAAAGCTAAATATTTTTTCAATGTTGTTTTTCCTTTTTCTAACCTTGTATCCTAGAATACAATACGTTGTAATTGAAAATGCAGATATCAATGTCACCACTAAACATGCTAACCAACATCGAATAACTGTTTCTGTGTCCTCACTCCACCAAACAATATTCAGAAAAGATATTTGCGAAATATCGGCATTGTATCTTGTAATGAAAAATGGTCGAACTTTCTCTCGTGCTTCGTCAGTTGCATACAACATTGTTTCACAGACCTTGAATGATTATTAGTAAGTTCATTGTTTGGACAACTTTTTAAATGGATCAGATACATACCCCAGACCAAATTAGGCCATGTAATATGAAAAAAATAAACAAACAGAATATTCCAGGTTTGCTTGTCAGATTGTCAATCATTTTTGAATTCACCAAAGCAAAATAACGATAGAAAAAATGAATAGTTAATATTCCGTAACTCAATGATATAAAACCACATCGGATGGAAACAGCCAACTGTCCAAATGTCTCATTCTGTTATGTATTTCAATATGCAGAACTTTAGAGAAAAACAAAAAATAAAACAACCCCTTCTAAAGGACCACCAGGAAGATACACTAATACAACTGAATCACGACCAAAGGCAGCCTAGAAGTTTTAAAAACAACTGCGATATTTATTCCGATTATAAAACTCACAATTGGAATAACTATTTCCACAATCGAATAAATTGAATTGAAAATTGAGAATGCTAATAAAACAAACCGATATTTTCCTAAAACCTTTTTCTCGTCAGAAACATTTAAGTAAATAAAAATAGGATTAAAAGTTAGAGAAAGTCCAAAAAATACTTTGGGAATATATTCAAAAGCCCAGTTAATGTACATTATTTACTGATTCAGTTTTGAATTCATTCATTATTTTATCAGTAAAATGTGGTTTTTTGTATTTTCCGGATAAATATTGTGAGATGGTTGTATTTTGAAAGTCAGTCATTCTGATAAAAACAAATTGTGATGGTTAATCTTCTGGTCTAATTTTAATTGTAAAAACAGTGTGAAATATTTATTTTCCAAAAATTGTTATCGTGAAATGGTTCTTATACTTGTGTCTCGGGTTGTTGACACTTTGAATCGATTTCGATAAACAGGAAGAAGAAGAATAATCGCAAGTGCATCCAAAAACGGAAAAGCAGAAAGTGCAACAACTCCAATATTTCCATAATTCCAAATATCCAATCCAAGAAATGGTAGAAACCATGCAACCATACAAGGCATGAACGATATAACAAGTGGAATCAATGTTTGGATAACCAAAGTTTTGAAAAGCTGGCGGTGAAGTTTTTTGGTGTTATTTGAGATAGTTTTGGCGCTATGTAGTTTTCTCACAATCTGAAAAACAATGACTCATTCTTCTTGTTATTCACGAATGCCGCTAACTTTGTATCCAAGAGTGCAATACAAAGAAATTGAAACAGCAGAAATTAGAGTCAGTATGATGATTGCTGTATAACAACGAATCATCGATGATTTATCAGAACTTTTCCACATAATATTGATAAATGAGACTTCAGAAATATCTGTGTCGTATCTTTCTTGGAAAGTATCTTTTACTCTTTCCCTTGCTTCTGTGGTTGAGTACAACATGAATTCACATATCTACAATAATTATATTGGATCTTGCTTGAAATTTCAGGTTGAAACTGACCGATGTCCATACTACACCGTGTGATAGGAAGAACAAAAACAAGTAAAAAATTCCACTCTTGCTTGTAAGTTTGTCATTTGTTTTAGGGTCAAACAAGGCAAAGTATCGATAAACAAAATGAATAGTCAAAATACCATAACTCAGTGATATGAAACCACATCTAATCGAAACAGCCAATTGACCCAAGAAGATATTCTGATATAAACAGTATACGTTATATTCTACATTCAAAAAGTCACATACTTTTTCAAATGGACCTTCTGCAAGATAAACAAGTACAATTTGATCACGACCATAAACTGCCTAAAATTAATAATTCTCATTAAAAAGTTCGAAAAAAGTTGAAACTTACAACTGGAATCGCAAATTCAACAATGGAATAAATTGAGTTGAAAATCGAGAAAGCGAGCAAAACAAAACGATATTTCCCAAGAACTTTTCTACTGTCAGAAATATTCAGGTAAATGAAAATCGGATTGAAAATCAAGGAGAGTCCAAAGAACAGTTTTGGAATATATTCGAAAGCCCAGTTAATATGCATTGTTGACAGATGAATGAGACGACGATAACGATTTTTGTATTCGTCAAACTACAAAACCCCCATATCATGTGAGGACGTCTGAGCTCTCTTTAATAAATTATTCATTCAAATACTCATAAAGTCATTATATTTTTAACATATGTGATTTGCACCTTTTTACTTCTAAAAGTTTGTCTATAAGCAGGAATTATGAACATCATAGTTGTTGCATCAATAAATGGAAATGCGGCTAACGGAACTGTGCATACATAATAATTATACCAAGATGGAACATTCAACCCAAAAATAGGTACATACCACGCTAAAAATGTTGGAAGAAAACTTCCGATTATTGGAATCACAGTTTGAACAATCAAAGTTTTGAATAATTCCTTGTTAAGGATAATAGTTCGTTTGCTCAATTTTTTCGTGTTTTTAAGTTTGTAGATTATCTGAAAAACCGTATACATGAAATTAATTACAATCTGCTAGATCACTAACTTTGATTCCAAGTATGATATAACTAGAAATAGCATAAGTTGAGATCAAAGTAAGGGCTATCATTCCAGACCAACTTCGAAACATCAAAGATTTACTAGAGTTTCGAAATACTGCGGTTAGCATTGGAACTTCATAAACCGACACGTCATGATTTTCTTTAAAAACATTCGACATTATTTCGCGGGTTTCGTCATCAGGTCTCAAACATATCTCACATATTCCACCAAAAGATAATCCATGAAAAGATAAAAACAAAACAATGAGTGACACATTTCTTTCAGTGAAAAAGTTCAATGAGTTCGAATATCTAAACAGAATGGTTTCATTTTTTAATTTTATTTTCAAGAAGAAAAACAGCAAACCCACCCAAGTGCAACGAAATATCGATAAACAAAATGAATTATCAAAATTGCATAAGTTAACGATATGAAAGAGCAACGAAGTGATATGAAAACACGGCCAAGAAAAATGTCATTATCTAAAATACCATCAGTCAAAAAAACCGAAAACCAAGTAGATGTTGTTTCAATGGCCTGAACATCACTCATGAAAAAAGTTGTATTTTTATTATTTTCGAAAACTTACAATTGGTGTCAATAATTCAAGAATCGAGTAAAGAATATTGAAAATCGCAAACATTGCCAAAAGATATCGATATCTTCCCATTTGATTCTTCGATTTGTACTTTATCATGAATAAAAATACAGCGTTTGCTGTAATGCTCAAAAATCCGAAAAGTTTTGGGAGAAAACTATGAGCAGAGCTTATGAAAATCATTATTTTTGAAGTTCTAATTTTTGTGTAGGAGAAGTTCTGTCTATTATACTGTAAACCATTAGGGAGCAAGTACTAATGAAAAACAGGAAATTAAGATTTTCCCGCTTTTTTTATCTATATCAGAAAGTTCAATTGATCTTACTTCTGATTGTTTGATACTATAAAAATAATTCCTCTTCAGCGCGCCATTTAGGAAATCAGTTCAAGTTTTGAAACCCATGCCCACAAAACCCTTTTTTTATTTGTTTATTTCACAATATTCCCAAAGCTATTGAAAAAAAAATTGCATAAATCGGTTTATTTTGCTTGTCTCAGAAAAGTACAGGATACATTTTTTATAAACTATAATTTTAAAGTAAACAAATTGAATTTATTCTTTGACTTTTTCAATTGATTTGGGAAGTTGAAGAGCGATTTGGATGAACAGTTTCAGTGATTCTTCGAATTGAAGTTGTATTTACAACATTGACTGAGCTTGAAATATTATCACGACGCAATAAAACATTGACAAAAGCAATTCGATAATTTGGAATGAAGAAAATAACAGCAAGAGGATCAATAAATGGAAAAGCAGCCAATGGAAGTGTGCAAATGTAATAATTCCACCAAGTTGGAGCATCGAAACCAAAGATTGGTGCATACCAAGCAAGAACAGTTGGGGTGAAACTTCCAACTATTGGGATAAGTGTTTGAACGAGAAGAGCGTAGAACAATTGAGCCTGCATTTTCAAAGATTTCTTACTCAATCCTCCTTTCTCCTGAATGTTTATTACAATCTGGAAAATAATTTTTATCCAAGAATTTGACATTCTCCAACCTTGTATCCCAAAATTCCATAGATTGCAATCGAATAAATTGATGTCAATGTTAAAAGTCCAATTCCAACTCGTCCTCTTGTTGTCACTTCACTTGTACTATTCCAGTAAACAGCAGTCAGCATAGGAATATTCTGAGAATCAACATCGTGTCTTGCCACAAAAGTTGGGAGCAAAATTTTGCGAATCTCATCATTTGGTGACAAACATGTCTCACACACCTACGAAAAAAAGTGATTCATTTTAATTGAATCATTTATTTTTAGCTCAAACTCACCGCTCCCCAAGAAAGACCTTGAAAAACAAAATATGCTGTTGAAATAGCAATTCCAGTTGGTTCAAAGAAACTTCTAGCCAAATGCGGTTTGAAAAGCAAAAGATAGCGATAAACAAAATGAATCACGAGGATAGCATAACTTTGAGAAATAAAAGCACATCTTGAGGAGATTCCAAGTTGTCCAATTATTGGATTATCGAAAAATGGGCCATCTGTTAGAAAAACAGCGAACCAAGTTGTTGTGGTTTCAATTGCCTGAAGTTTTCTATCAAGAAATATTTTTTTAATGAATTTCTTACAATTGGAGTTAGAATCTCAGCAATCGAATAAAAAATATCAAAAATTGCAAAAGAGACAAGAAGATATCTATAATTTCCAACTTGACTTTTCGATCTTGTAACAACCAAATAAATAAACAGCGGATTGATGAGAAAACTCAAAAGTGCAAAAACTTTTGGAATATGGCTGTGAAACCAGCTGATATAAATCATCTCTGGAAATACTCTGGGCATTTTTTTCTTGAAATGATTTTTCGTGATATTTTTTTCAAATTAGAATATGATTCTCTGAACTTTGTAGATATTTTTAGATCTGAAATAAGACAAAGTTTATTATTATACTCTCATGAAATACTAAGAAAACTTACAGTAACTTTTGACGTATTTCTGGCAACCAGGAAATTGATTTTTGATGGATATTAGGAAAGATTAGGAAATGAAAAACACAGAAAGAGTCAATCACAATAGAAGACCATAAATGATATTTTATTTTTCCAAAAATAAAGTGATCATACATTTTTCCAGGAAGCAAAAAAGTTACCTACATTTTTGCATCTTCCGATAACAGTTTATTAAAAACATACCCTTTCAACAGAAAAAAAAGCGAGTTCCTCAAAAAAATATTGTTTGGGTTCAAAGTTTGGATTATAAATGAGTAAGACGACTGCTCGTGCAGTTTTAGGTATACTATGATAAAGCTGGATTATCCTTAAGCTTAAATACAACCTGAAAAGAATCGAACAATAAATCTTGCACGAGGAAACGCGTGACAAAACCAAAAATCCGGGATGTTATTTCAAATATGCAAAAAATAATGGATAGTAAGATTAGAGAAATCGGACTACGGTAGGTACATTTGAATGTGTACTTCTTGTTAGTTGAACTTATTGGTAGATCAAAATTGAAGAGAATGTCAAAGTATTTGTGTTTTGTTCTTCGAGTTTTTTGTTTGAAGAGTACTATACCGAAGCTTGGAAAATGATGGGTCAGACAAAAGCGGAAGTATTAGGACCGCTTTTTCAGACCTCGGAGATACGTCAGAAATGTGAATTTTTGTCCATATTTATTGAAGAACTACCAATTCTTCTATAGTTTTATGATGTGGATATTTCAAAATGAAACATCTTTCTACTATCATGACGTTATCCTCGTGTCTCTCTTCCTCCGAACCTATATAATTCAAAACAATTAATCTAACATAACAGAAAAATATTTCCTCATTTTTTGTTGCTTCGATTTTGACAGATAAGAACAGGATTTCTTCGAACGAAAATTGCGTAAGGTTTTTCTCTTCGAGATTCACTTTTCCTCCCCCGTTTCGTCTCAAAAACTCATAAATCCATTTTATTATTCCATTATTTATTTTTTTTTGCTGCATGTTCTTCAACTTTTAGTCATTTAGTAGTATAAAAACTTCCGTATCACAATTACACATTTTTATGAATAGGTTTTGTGTGAATGTCCTCCAACTTTACAAAAATTTATCACAACCAAGTCAAAAATGATTTTCCCTCCTTTTCTCTCATTTTACTTTTAATTATTATTAGATCATTTGTAGGTATGAAAACTATAGGTTTGTTATTGGCGATCACCGGAATCGCCAGCTCCTGTTTCTGCCCGTAAGTTTCTTCATTTTTCAAAAAAAAAACAATTTAGAAAATATAGAAAACATTTTCAGTCAAATAATCAGTCCCTCATGCGGTTGCGGTGGCGGTGCTTCCTATACTCCCTACTACGGTTCAGCGGGTTACGCAACCCCAAATTATAATTACAATTATAATAGCTACGCAGCTCCTCAACCAGCTGGCGCAGGAAGCTATGCGATCTTCTATAGAGATTTGACACCATTTAGACAGCCCTATTACCAACCTCAACAATCATATCCACAACGAATTCCGCCACCACCAGTTTATCCACAACCAATTCCACCTCCAATTCGACCACAACCACCAAGATTCCCACAGGTTTGTCATGCTAAAAATATCAGAAATGTAAATGAAGGAGTACTCAGAGAAAAGGTGGTCCATGGGCAGCCCCTTGGAGTGCCCCGAGGGCTGGTCCTAAGGGCAACACTAGTGCATTCAAGGGGCGACCTAGGGGCAATTAAGAAAAACTAGGGTATGACGTTTTTAAATTTTAAAAATTTTGACGTGGAAAAAATCATTTCTGTTTTAATTTTTAATTTTCGCCATGGCAAAATTCAAAAAAATCTTGCGCCAGGAAATCATTCACAATGGTGATTACCTTCGGAAATCTAGTTTATCTATTTGATCAAAATTAATCGAAATCAAAACATATTTCAAAGGGAAAACTTTTATTTTATAAAAATGAAGCTTCTCAGAATTCTCATTCATAGTTTTCGGAATTTCGGCCCTGCTATACATTCCCGAAATAACAGTCGGAACATCGAATAACAATTTTCTAATGAGCACATTCTCTGACTTCTGCAATTTCGGACTTGGGCAGCGTGAGATGACATAATTTTCCAAATTCACAAATATTCCAAATAGAAATACTCATAATATAAATTCCTTGATTTCCAAAACTGTTCCTGCTTTTCACTTTTCAATTTTCTGGGACTTGTAGCATATAAAATATAATAAATCGGAATTGAGTTCCCCACTATTTTCTTGAATACCGAAATAAGTGGAATGAAAGAAATTTATTATTTTTTGTGATCGAAAACGTAACTAGGTCACAAAACTAGGTCACGTGCTCAAAAGTTACCCTTCAAATTTTTTTCCCATTAGAAAATTTGCCCTTCGTGCTGGTCCGAAGGGCAACACCCCGAAAATAGGGGCAAACCAAATTCCTACGGGCAGCCCGGGGGCAAAATTTTCTCTGAGTAAATAAAGTGTAGTAATTTTAATTTGTGAAAATAGGTCACGTTAGAAATCACTTACAATTTTATTTTTGTGTTTCGTTTCAAATATTTTTATCATGCTCAAATAATTTATTTCCACAGCAACCGGTTATTGTTCAACCAACAGTTGCTCCAATTCGAGTGACCCCAGCCAGATATGAACCACCGACTACAACTCAATCCCCCGTCATTGTCCATGAAGGTCAAGTGGAATATGAACAAGAAGATTATGATACCACAGTCACAACCACATATCGTCCAGTACCAGTGACGACACAAACTTTTGCACCGATTGTCGAAATCATCACAACAACAACAACCAGCACAACACAATTGCCTACGACAACTCAAATTACACCTGTTCCTGCTGCTGTTCAAGATGAAATAGAAGATTTTGAGGATACCACTGAACCATCGAAAAAGAAAGATGAGTTCTATTATGTGTATTATGATGAAAAGGGAAATAAAGTTGGAGACTCTCGAAGTGGAACAACATTCCCACCACAAGATATTATTCAAGAAGTTACAACTGTAGCAGCTATTCAAGCATCAACTGTAAAAGCTTTGAATGTTGCAACTGGAAAATTGGAAAGCACTGAAAATTATGATGATATCGTAGTAGAACAAACTGCCAAAGTTGGAGGAAAAACTGGAGATGGTAAGGAAGACTAGAGGGATAAAAGCAGGCATACTGTGTGTTTTATTTCAGTTGTGTATGAGGACGAAACAATTGAATATGAAGATGGAACTACCGTAAAACCTACAACAATCAAAACATTGAAACGAGGACTTGGTGATAATCAAATTATGGTGTCAGCTTCAGACACAGTTGGGGAAAGCATGGGATATCGTAAAAGATTGAATGCAAATGGTGTCAAAATTGTGCAGAAGCAGAGAGCTGACAAAAGAAAACTTCATAGTAACTAAACTTCATCAGTTTTTAATGTTTTATTGTTCCTAATTTGTTTATTTGTATGTATATCAGTGTGATGCTCGAACTGAAATTCTTCTCGAATTAAACATGTTTGAACTATGAACCGAGACTTTTTTCGTGAATAATTTTTTGATATCAGGAGATGTGAAAAAGAAATAGCATGGAGTGGCAGTTCCAGCAATCAGTAAAATCTGGAAAACGTTTTGCGGTGTAACAAAAAGATGAATTACCGCGTTAAGAAGTCTTTTGAAGACAAATGCCATCTCTAAATTGAAAGATATATTTAGACACATATAAAAAAGTGTAGAAGATATCTGGAAATTTACAATTCGATAAAATCTACGATTTATTTTTCTAAACAAACAAAACCTGGAAGATCATGAAAATGGTGATTGCTTGTTTTAAAACACTCATTTCTTTCTTGTTGATATTTGATTGTTTTGCAACGAATATTTTAATAATAATTAAAACATAAATTGTTAGATTGATAAGTGGGACCAGAATTTGGATAAGGATTTCAAACTATAAACATTATTTTAACTTTTAAAAATGAGTAAAATGAAGCACCTACAAATGATATAATTTTGGGATTTCTCGTAGAATTTGCACAACGTAATGAATAATGTGATAACTTTGTAATATATTCGTAGCTGCATTCATTATAATACATGAAGCAAACTATAATCATAGGGATTGCCCAAATCAGAGATATCCAAATAACCATAATTGATCTGAGAAAGAGAGAAGATCAAGATATAAATTATGTATTATGATATCACTTTGTTATATCACTCACGTTTTAAACAACAAATCATATCTTTGAGGAAATAAAAATACAGTTCCTCGTTGTATTGCAATCACTAAATTAGCGAATAGAATCGCATAGTTACAAAAATCAATTACATAAGAACTAATAACAAATACTTCCGATTTCACAAATTCAGTTGTTAACAAAGAAAATAAAGTGACTGGAACATTCACAGTTAAATTTAAAATTGATAATATGGATACAGCTATCAATAATTGTAAAAGTATCCAGAAAAAATTCATCTGAAATAATATCAATTCAGATTTGATTCAGTTTCTGATCAGAACTTATTGACCTCTTTCAACACTTTCCAAGTGAATTTTGATAAAATTAAAAACAATAAATTTGTTAAAGTTGAAGTAAATGCAGTTATTGTGAAGAGTATAACTATTATATAGAATACGTATGAGTTTTTATATGTTAAAGGTTCTACAGTCACCTAAATTATCAAAACAATTTTAAACTATTTAGATGAGATAGTTACGTTACTTCTACAAAATAGCCTGTGTGATCATCATTGGTCGCCGTTTTGTTTATTCCGGTGATAATTTCGCATTTAACAAATGAGAAAACAATGAAAATTATAATAATAAACATTTTTACCTTTTGAAAATGAAAGAAACAATTTATATTTAGTTAGTTTTCAGATATTCTGACTCGACATCACATTTATATTTACGAGTTAAAATAAACATTTATTGCAATTGCAGCTGATTTTAGTCGCTATAGCGAGAACGACCTTTCAAAGAATGAACTTTATTCTTAAAGGAAATCTTACTTTTTTAGAAAAAGAAACTGCAAAAAAAATAAAATAAAAAACTAACAAAAAACGAAAAAAAAATGTGAATTTTGAAAAACCCACGTAAACCTTGCAACGACGCTCCGTTTATTTGCATATGCGTGTTGTTTATCGTAAATTTCAACAGAACGTTCGAAATTTTTTAATTTCTTTTTCTCGGCTTTTCGTGATAAAAATCGTGACTTTCTCGAGTTTTTTCATAATAATTGATTTTCCAGGGTAACAAAAATGTCGCTGAGTAAACTTAACAGTTTAACGCGTCTAACAACAAGTCGAAAAAACCAGTTGATCGCCAGATTCTTCAGTTCCGACGAGTTCAAATCACTTTTAGGCCCATCTGCTGTTCGAAATCCATTTGCTGATCCATCTCGAGTTCGACAAGTTCCAATAGTTGCTGTCAATGTGAGTTTTCTATTTTTCTGAACATATCTGAAAATGACGTAATTTTCTACAGCATGGAAATGTTTTTGCGCCATTGCGAGTTCCTGAAGCAACTAATGAAGCGATAAAAATTGAAAAAGAGCCGGAAATTGTGGAGAAAATTGTGCCGCCGGAAATTGTCAATCCAGAAGTTGTACTTTCTTCGGATGTACCGAAAGAATCTCCAAAAGATGATGCATTCTCAAGTCTCAAAGATTCACTAGGAAAATTAGAAGAGACTGCAGCTAAATTGAATTCCAATTCAAATTCTTCATCATCAGGAGGAAACGATGATCCAAATCATTCAGAAGAAGTCGAAAAACGACGACAAAAAATGGAGAGAAATACCAGAATTGGTGGTTTTGTTATCACTGGTGGATCAATTATCGGTCTCATTGCATTTTGTGTGTATTATGGTCGAGCAAAGAGAGATGAAGCTGGAAATGTTATTCAAGACGAGTTCAGCGGATCAATTTTGGCGCCTTTCTACAGAATCGTTAATAGTTTCAAACTTTGGAGAGATGTGAGTTGTTTTGAAACTTGATAAAAATAATTTCTTCAAAAAATACATGCAAATTTTTCAGTATGTCGTTGAACCTGCTCGTGAAATGCTTCTTCCTGATCCTCTTCCAGCTCCATATCATCAACCAAAATATACAATCGTCATTGAACTTAAGAATATTCTTGTGCATCCCGAATGGACCTATAAAACAGGTTATCGATTTTTGAAGCGTCCAGCACTTGATTATTTCTTGGATGTAATTGGATATCCAAATTTCGAAGTTGTTATTTATTCATCAGAATCATTAATGACTGCTGCTCCAGTTGTTGATAGTTTCGATCCAAAACAACGAATTATGTACAGATTATTCAGAGATTGTACAAAATATATGAATGGACATCACGTGAAAGATTTGTCGAAATTGAATCGCGATTTGTCAAAAGTTATTTTCATCGATTTCGATCCAAAATCGGGACAATTGAATCCGGAAAATTTGTTAAGAATACCTGAATGGCGTGGAAATATGGAAGATACAACATTGGTTGATTTGGCTGAATTGTTGAAGAGTAAGTGTTTGAGGATTGTGAAGGACGTTTTTAAAAAGTAATTATTTATAATAAATTTCTCGGGAAAAATACGGCACCAAGGCGACATCCTGGGGCGCTAAGGCGACATTCTGGGGCGCCAAGGCGGGAAGTGCTCTCGCCTCGGCGCTAAAAAGGTGCGCAGAGAGAACGCACCGGCGCTAAAACGGCGCGCGAAGAGACGCACCGGCGCTAAAATGGTGCGCCAGTGAGACGAAAAAAATAAAAAAAGGTGCGTGAAGGGGGCATCGAACTTGGGTCAAAAAAATGACAACCCATTCTCTTATCCACTCGGACACGCTTGCTACATTTTTAGTGCGGAAAATTTCGATGAAAAGAGAACAAGAGTCATTTGTATGGTAAAATAATGGATTTTTCATGAAAATGTCGCCTCGGCGCTAAAAAGGTGCCGTAATTTCGGCACCTTTTTAGCACCGGGGCGGCCAAAACTCCTCGACAATTTTTGTCGCCTCGGTGCTAAAAAAGGCGCCGCATTTTTCCCGAGTTTAGATTCATTTTTCTTGAAGCCACAGGATAGCAGCTTTTTTCTAGACCCCAAAAAATTTCTCACACTATCCGTTTTATAAAGTAAATTTTCGGCAAAAACTGTTGCTATAGAAAATGGCTCGACTTTGACGACAAATATTCATGAAATTTTCATTTTTTATATATTTTACCAAGTGGATTTTTGCATTGGATTGGAACTTTTTTATATTATAGTTCCGGAATCGCAATTTTCTTTCAAAAATTTGGCTAAAAATATACATTTTAAATTTCAATGGTCACAACTTGTTCTCAAAATTCAAGTTCAAAAATTTTTTGATTTTCGAAAACACTGCGCGAGTCTATTTTTCTAATAATTAGAAAAATCCACATTCTAATGGGGTTTTCCCATTATCCTTAAGTAGCTAACAAGCCATCCCATCAATTTTAAGTAGTTGTGTTTTTCAGCCATTCATTTATCGGACCCCGAAGATGTTCGCCCAATGATTGAATATTATTCACAATACGATGATCCGGCCAAAGAATTTAGACGCAGAGCTCTTTATTTGTCACAACAAGTAAGTCTAAAATATATATATTTATTTATTTAAACAATTTAATCTCGCTTGATTCGATTTTCGCATATTTTTTCAATAATCGTATTTGTTTCACATGTACACAATCGATTTTTTATTCACATCAATCCAAAATTCATACATTTTTGTTTTCATCACTATTTTTTCTAGGAAGAACAAAAACAAAATAGCCCAGACGATTCCTCAATGCTCAAACGATACTCAGGACGATTATTTGGATTCAGAAGACATGCTTCTGCCTAAAATCTTCTTTTTTTTTGAAAACAATTTAATTTTTAGTAATTTTCCCGCCTGTTTTTCTTCTAGGATTATTAGAAAGTTTTTAGTTATCTCATTTTTTTTTGTTTTTCGAAACAGGTCTTGTTGATTTTTGTTTTTTTTTCCTGAATTTTAATAACATTTTCTTCTTTTCTTGTTGTTTTTTTGGAATCCAAGGTTTTCACTTTTCTGATATCTCATCTCTTTTCACTTTTTTTTCTTGACTTCATTTTGTGAAATGATAAGAATTTATCCATGTTTCAGGCAAAAAACGGGTCCTGAAGCGATTTTTCGAAACGAAACGGATGCAGGTTGGTGTTTTCTGCCCAATTAAAATTTTTTTCGCTATTGAATTTTTATTGAGTTCGTAAAAATAGTAAATTTTGAATTCCAAACATCTTTTTTCTCCAAAAAAAAAAAGGAAACGAATTTTAATTAGAATTTCTTTACTCTAAAACTTTTTTTTTTCCAAAAAAAGTATACATATTTTTCATCTGACACATGAACTTTTTCCTGCCTGTTCACTAAAAACAGAGAAAGAACCTGATTTTTCATCTCGCGTTTTTCACACAAAAATGTCAGGTCAAAGACGAGCTGCGCACGCTCGACTTTTTTTTGAATAAATACAAATAGACGCCGTTTTTGTATTTATATTATATTATTATTATTATACTTTTTTTATTGTTGTTCGAATGTTTTTTTTTTGGCTAAAAATAGAGAAGTTTTGTATAGGCTAGAATTGTTTCGTTCTATTTTGAACTACATGAATTCAGAAAATCCCAAGTAATCTTTTTAAAGTCACCTAAAAATAGCTTGTTTTCTCAAAAAAAAAATTTTCGAGAAAATTTGATTTGATTTTTTTTTTTTTTTTGAAAATGTTTGGTGCACTAGACAAGTTGAGATGTCTGAATTTTGAATATTTTTGATTTGAGAGGAAAGTTAGAACAAATAAATAGCTGAAAGTTAATGTTGATTATTGAAAGTAAAATTTTCTGAATTTTTGATATAAAAATTTGAATGCTTAGAAATCTGAGAGTTTTTCTTCACATATAAATTTTGTGGTTATAAATCTTGTTCAATTTTCAACAAAAACGTTATTTCTTGCAGCAGAAAAATTGATCGGTCAAATTTTTCTGATCCAAAGATTTTCTCTAGCAAACTTTTAGAAAAAATCTCTGATTTCTGGAAAAGCTGAAATCAAGTTTGAATTTTATTTGGAATCCTAATGTTTTCTGAAATGTTGAATATTTTTTTTGTTTTCCAAAATCTTTCCAAAAACATAATTTCTCCCAAATCCCATGACAAATTTTCGTAGCCAAAAATACATGTTTTCTAATTTTCAATAATTCATAGAAAATTATTTTTCGCTTAGAATTTTCCATTATTCTCTCGAAAAATTATTCATTTCCCGGTTCCCACCAAATTTTTTAGTCATTTCTTTCTTTTTCCAAAATTTTCATATTATTTTTTGTGTAATGAAATTTGAGATTCATTATTTTTTCCAAAAAAAACTGAAATATCTTGCATATCAAAAAATGTGCATTTTGAATGCGGACGGATCTGTTTGTTTTTTCCGGTCTCACATCATTCTGTTTAATATTTGTTCTCTGCTTCTTTTTGAAAAAAAAAATATTTTATTGATTTGACAACAAATTCTCCCATGTTTTCCAAAAAAAAACCCCGATTCTATAGGTAATTCGAATACACTGGAAACCGGTGATATTTTTGGCGATGGGTTTGGCGGTGATACTTGGTGTTTTGATATGTACAACAAGTGCTTGGGGACAATGGCGAACAAATCAACGACAACATCAGCTATCGATTTTGCCGGATTCGTCGACGTTGAGATTGTGTCGAGATTTTACGAATCAGACGAGGTTTAAAGAGATTTTGAAGCCGTTGATGGTGCCAAGAATTGTTGATACACCACAGCATAAAATTGTGGGAAATGTGAGTTTTTTGAGGGTAGCCAGATCTGATTATTATAAATGTTCAGACCTAATTCAATTCTGATTATTTGAATAAATTTTTCTCATTGAAATGGACGCTTACCTTATTTTTTGCATTTTTAGAGGTTTTATTTTTTGTCGGAATTTTAGCTCTCAAAAAAATTTGAAATGAAAAATAACCCTCAAAAGATACCATTTAAAAAATCTTTTTTTTCACGTGCTTTCATTTTATAGAAATTCCCACAACCTTTATTTTTTTTTGTAGTACATCGAGTCATTTTTGGCGAACCTCGGATTCTCCACTGAATGGGATACATTCCAAGATTCAACTCCACTCGGAACTCGCAATTTTCGAAATCTCATCGCAACTTTTGATGAATCTGCTCCTCGTCGATTTGTTCTTGCCTGTCATTATGATTCAAAAATTATACCAGGCCAAGTTATGATTGCAGCAACAGATTCAGCAGTTCCTTGTGCAATGATGATGGATATTGCACAAACACTTGCACCATATATGTATAAAAGAGTTGCACAAAATATTGGTTTTCAATTAATTTTCTTTGATGGTGAAGAAGCTTTTCGTGAATGGACATCAACTGATTCATTATACGGAAGTCGACATTTGGCACAAAAATGGGAACAAAAATGGTATCCATCGAGTAGCTCATTTAATAATTTCGAGTTGAGCAAAGAAATTGATCGAATTGATGTTTTGACACTTTTGGATCTTCTTGGCGCTTCAAATCCACAAATTGGAAATACTGTTGGAATGGGTGCCACTGAACTTTTTGGACAATTGGCTGATGTTGGTGAGTATTTGTTTTCCCTTAGAAAAGTTTTGTCTTGAAATAAATCATGAAAAGGTCACGCTTTTCTTGATTTCTTTTTCTCATTTCCTGTTATACCGGAAACTTTTTAGTTTTATGTTCATGCTAATTTAGAAAAGAAAAACAATTATCTTTTAAGACGGCGGGAAAAAAGAATTACTTATGCTAATCTTGGAAAAATTGTTTTTTTTGAAATCGGAAAGAAAAAAATAATTTGAGGTCAAAGTCGGCCGAATGTTCTGGTTTTTATATTAGAACTTTATTTGTAAGTTCTGAAATCTGTTCAAAAACTCAAACCCCACATTTTCTCAAAAATCACAAACCAAAAATTAGTCAAAACAAAAACAAGCTTCATTTATTTTCAGAATCTCAACTTCGCTCAAATGGCTGTCTCAAATCGCTGAACCGCAATATTTTCAATAAACAATTGTCTTTCAATCAAGTGGAAGATGATCATGTTCCATTTTTGAAAAGAGGTAGTTTCTTTTCTGGATTTATCCATATTCAATTTTCTTAACTTCAAATTTCTTCAGGTGTCCCGATCCTTCACTTGATCACAGTTCCATTTCCACAAGTCTGGCATCGACCATCAGATAATGCAAATGCGCTCCATTGGCCAACCATTGATCATTTGACATCGATTGTTCGAGTGTTCACAGCAAAATATTTGGGAATCGCTCCAGCATAATTTCTTTTTAACTTGACCAAAGTATTTTAATATTTCTACGGGCCTTCATGGGATTTCTCTCTCTCTCTCTCTCTCTCTCTCTCGCTATATTAATTAAAAATAATTAACAAATTAATAAATAAACAGAATTTTATTGTTATACCCGTTTCAAGATTTTAAACATTATCAAAAAGAAATTAATTCAAATTGGCGTCGCATCGACAGATTTTACTTGAATTTCAGTTAGAAGAGGTACTGTAGTTGTTGTGGCGTGGCGAGAAGTTCGAAATTCCGAAGCCATACGGTAGGAATAACGAGAAGTTTGATCAGTTATCAGAACCTATAAATATTTAGTTGAAATTCAGATGTCTCAATGGTGAGAAAAAAGTTCACACATTCCAGAATACGAGGGGTTAGGTGAATGGAGGAACACGAAAAAAAACAACAGTGATCAATTAATTGACTACTACAGTATAATTTTGTACACTAGACTATGTAGAATCATTTTTGTTTCAACATACGTTTGCTGGTAGCCGCATTATTGGCCCCGCTGAATTGTGAACTAGACTTTTGAATGTCTGCAAAATTTTTGGGTTTTGAACTATCATAGTTTTACGCGGAAAACAGGTGCAAATTTTGCTTGCGTAAAAACATTTTGAAATTTATTTTGGAGAACTGGTTTTTGATCTCATGAAAATTTTGGTCTGAAAAAGTCATATTTTGAGATATTTTTGGAATGGGAGAACTTGATTTTCCACAAAAAAAAATCACATTATTTTTCCCCAATTTTGAATCTTCACAGCCATACCTAGGCTTTTGAAATCTTTAATACCAACTCTGGAAAAACTTCCCTTTTTGAGAAATTTTGAAATTTGGAAATTAGTACTCTGAATTTTTCAAATGTGTTCAATGTTCATTCCCCTATATTTTGCAAAAAAAAAAAATCCCAGAATTCGGAGAATTTTTAAAATTGTTTTCAGTTTTTTGCTGACGTACTCATTCATTAGCTCGTACAAACTACATTTTCAGTAAATATTTTTTTGAAATGCCCTTTTCAAAAAAAAAAATTATGTATTTTTCAACCTTTTCTTGTCAAGTACATTTTCTTTCAACAAAAAAGAAAAATACATTTCCGTAAATATCTAGATTCATGTCAAAAAAATGTCTAACCTTTCCTTTTTGTCGTTCAACATAACCAGGACAAAGTATGCGTTTCCAAGCAATTACAGCGGTTTTACGGAAGTTTGCGCTGAAAAAAAAAACTTTGAACTTTCCAATAAAAAAACTATACAATTACCTGGAAAAAGCATAAACCAAAACATCAATTGCAAAATTCAAATAATACAAATAATGCGACGCATTGTAAATAATCTTATAACTCAATGGTTTTTCTTCAGGGAACATGATCTCAAAAAGAGCAAACGCATAATATGGCGAGTTCAAAAGTACAAAAAGTAGTGGCATAACCCATAAAATTCGTGTCCATGTTCCAGAAGCACTTGATGATCCACCAGTTCGGCGAGATACATTTTTTCCCTCGTCTTCTTTGAAATGTTCTTGTGATTTTTTGACTTGAGTTGCGACAAGAATATTGAGAACAACAATAATAGCACATGGAAGGATATAGCAAAGAATTGTGTCGAAAACTTGGATGAACACCTGGAATCATTTCAAAAAGTTGAGTTAAATATACATTTTTGCAAAATATATTCTAAAACTTTTGATCTTTTCCACGTCACAATCAACATTTTCCTCAATTATTTTTGGAACACTTTTTTCTTTTTCTACTTTTTCTTGCAAACGTATCAACTACAATTTCTTTCCCAAAAACTATAAAACCGTGTGATTTTCCTCTTACTCATTACAAAAAATATCTTCTAGCTCACCTGATAATTTCCTGGTCGCAAATCACATTTTCTTCCCTCATCAGCCGGTACCAAGATATAGAACTGAATAAAATGTATCATAAATGGGATGGGAATCCAACACAGAATAACTTTGGCTCGATCCACATGAGCATATTTCATATGTGTTAATGGATGCGCAATTGCAAGATATCTTTCAATGGTGAGAGCAGCTGTGGACCAACTTGAAATATAGTTTGAAACAGCAAGGATGTATTCAACGGCGACACAATATTCATAGGCTTTGTAACCGATCTGAAAAATGATGAGGATAGGGTAAATAGTGTTGAAGATAAACTCACTCTGAAAAACACTCCAAGAACTGCTGTGAGAAAAGCACTGTCAGCCAAAGTCAAGACGATCAGATAAATGTTGGCAGAAACCTGAAATATGAAATGACATGTATATTTTATTAATTTTTTAACTATTTTTCTGAATTTTGAAAAAACCTCAAAACTAAAAAAAATTTGAGAAAAAGTTAAACAACTTTCCTAGTTTTTTTTTATTCTTTAGTTTGCCAACAAAATTCAACAAAACAAAATTAAGTTTCTTGACACATACATATTTGTCACGTTTTCCCACACGTCATAATTAGAACTTCGTGACTTCCTCAAAATTAAAAATTAATCAATTTTTTGATTTTTGACTGCACTGATAGTGAGCTCTCGGACGGGATTAGGGATTTTCTCAAGAAAATGCGCTTTTATATGCGTCCCAGGAATCAGGGCTGGTCGGAATTGACCTTTCGGAATTTCGGAAGTCCCATTTTCACTCCCGATTTTATTTTCGGAATTTCGGCATTCCGACTTTTTATTCCGAATAATTGTTCGATAGTTCGGAATTCCGATTTTTTCTTCCGACTTTTTTTTCGGAATTTCGAAAGAAATTCGGAAGTCCTAATACGCAGAAAAAAGTGAAAAACGAGATTTTTCGATGAGTTATCAGAACAATAATAGTGAAAATAGTTGCGAAAAAGTGAATCTTGTTCTTTAGTTTATGAAAGACAACAAATTTGTGTCTATTATCGATTATTAAGACATTTTTCACCATCATTTCAGCCTTAAAATAAAGTTTTCTTTATAAAAGCATATATTCCGATATTCTTAAATTTTTCGAAAGTGATTCCGACAAAAAAGTCGGAATGAATAAAAAGTCGGAACGAGAGTCGGAATTCAAGCAATTCCGAGTTTTTCTTTCGGAAGTGCTTCCGACTAAACTAAACTTCCGAAAAAACGTCGATTTTCGGAATTTCGGAATTCCGATATTCCGATTCCGACCAGTCCTGGCAGGAATCAAAAATGTACACTTTACTTAGTTTTATTGAAATTGTTCTTCTATCTCCCCCGCAACTAAAAATAAAATAAACTAACTCTTCTCAAACGTGAATGAAAAATAGTGACAAGCGATATAACATTTCCTGTCAAGCCAAAAAGTGAAATCAATGGTAAAATATAGTGATCAGCCGATTCGCCTTCACCATCCATCTCAACTACCAAAGAACTGTTGTTCATTCTGAAAATTGAGCATTTTCCAATTATTTTTTGTTTTCACAAAAAAGAAGTAGCGAAAAAATACAACAAAAAATCAATTCTCAATTTCGCTCCCAACAAATTTCGGACGGGAATCGTAAAAATCATAATCATCATCATCGTATAAAATTTTGGTTCGTTTTTTAACGAACAAAAATTATATTTTTCGGGTGGTGTTCGCCCCGCAAAATGAATAAGAATGAGAGCACAAAAAATAATTAGACCGCCCACTTTTTTTCGATCGAGCTCAAGAAGAATAAAAAATGAAATAACACAACAGAAGAAAAAACAACAGAAAACAAATAATAGGAAAATTGTAAGAAGGAAATAATGACTGGAAACCAGGGAACTTCAGATGCAACTCTTTTTTTACACATGAGTTAATCGCAATTAATTTTAGGTGAATATGGAAGTATTTTCTAGACTCTAGAAATGATGAATAAATCTAAAAATAAATGAGCCCACTATTAAATTTTGGAATTTCTTGGAACAATAATTACTTTGTGCCAAACAGGAACATTTTTTGAGAACCTCGGAAGTTCATAGAAGACGTATTTGTATACTTTTGACTTCATGTTATTTTGAACTCTACATTTTCTGGGGACCCTAATAGTGTCATTTAAAATTGATAGAAATTCTCAGAAAGCGCAAAACACAAATTGAAACTTTTGATGGGCAAAACTCAGTAGGAAGAGGAAGTTTGGTCAATTTAATTAACACAAGATTTTGAAAAAAAAGTTTCCGCCGCCTAAAATTAGTTTTGCTCACAGCTAATAATTTAAGAGCCAGCCAAAAATGATAGAACTTTGTGCACATCGAATGCAAAAAAGGAAATATTTTACTTTCAAAAGCCACGCCCACTTCATGTACTAGATAAATGAGTTTGAGTAAAAATAAACACTTGACGGATCTCGTTTCATTCAACTTTTTGAATGATCTCGTCTTGTTGGAAAATATAGGCGGGGCTTAGTTTTTTGCTCTGCTCTGAAGAAAAAGTGGAATATGTATGGAATTCACGGCTACGTTGAGCTGAAAACGAAGAGATATTTGGATTATATTGGGATGAGAACACATTTGCGAAGGAGTTAAAAATAACATTCATTTTTTATTCAGTCTGAAGAAAATGGTCGAAAATTCAGAAAATCGTCGGAAAATCGGAATTATTAGCATAATTTTAATATCTACTATATACTAATTGGAAACTGCTTTTTAAAAGGTGCGTATGTCCGATGGACCAACTTTTTTTCTACTTCATGAAAAGCTTTGGTTAAAAAAAGAAAAGTTTCTAAATAGTTGCAGCATGATGCAGAACATTATGAAATTTTAAAATTTTTTGTTGTAGTGCGCGGAGAAACTTTTAACTGAAAAAACTCCCGAAATTCAATGTATTTTTGAAAATAAAAATGTGTCGCCGACCGTAACTCAATTTCTAGACAACCGTTTTGAATGAGACTTGGACCAACGTGTTCCAAATTCTTAGTAGATGATGCACGATATTCGAAATCTTTCAAAAGTGCGCAAGTTTTCACGTGAAAAATCAAAACTTTTTCCGTGTAGAAAAGAATGAACACGTTTTTAATCGGAAAAAATGGCTAGGTCACGTCCTTATCTGATCTTTCCATTTCATTCAAAGCGGGACATTTTTAATCATTTCTCGCTATTACTCTATTCCTAATCGGTTTAAAAAATGAATAGAAAAAAGTGAGTTAGATTACTGTAGATAAATTCATAATTTGTTCGAACTTTCAGATATTGAATAATTTCCTTTACTAGAAGATAAGCAAAGGCTTTGGCTTGCATTTTTGATAGTGAGTTCTGATGTGTTTGGGAGTATCAATATAGTTAAGCCCAAACAATTATTGTCAATCCGAGAATTTTGTGAGCCTTGGAAAAGAACCGATATGGCCTAGAAAACCGAAAATTTCCTATTTCAATGAAAACAATCAAAAGGCAGTAAAGTCTTATGTATTTTGATTTTCTCTTTTGCGGCTCTGAAAGGTTCGGATTGAACATAGAAGCTTATTCAGAAAATAAGAAAGAGAGATCTTACAAAAAAACATGTAAGATAACTTTTGACTGTTGCATTTTCTAGCTCACTGGATATAGATTTTTTGGAACAGTTTCTCCAAATGTTGTGGTTTACGAGACGTAGAAAATTTGGATTTGAATAAGAAAAAAGGAATGTACAGAAAAACAGGAGTTTAAAAGTATGTAATCCACTGCCCCAAATCGCTAGACTTTATATTTTCAGTAATTTGTCTCTAAACCCATCATTTTTTGCATTGATTCCATCGATTTTAGTCCTACCTTGAAAATCGTGTCAGGTCTCAAAGAAAAGGCGTGAAAAAAGGAGTTTTTACAGAAAAGAGAGGTTTTGAAAACAATACTTTTTCTTAATTTTGAGCGTCATCTAAATTTAGGTCACAATTCTGAACCTTACTTTTGAGCAGGATGAAAAATCAAAGCCCACCTTTTTTCATAACCCCTCCTTTTTCCCCTAAAAATTTCGGCTCTAAACGAAAAGAGAGTTCAGAATGCTTTATGCTCTCAAATGTGGGAATATTTTCATTTTCATAAAATTCAAGCACAAGGATCAGATTAGGCTCGAAATTCTGAAAAAAGGCTACTTTTTGAAAAATCAAGTTTTTGACAACCCCTCTTTTTTTCATAACCTCTCTTTTTCCGTTCAGAGCCAAAAATTCTATTCAGCTCCAAATAGTTTTCTATAAAATTCCTGTATGGATTCGGTAAATTCTGTATTTTTGTTTTCTGAACTTCAAAATTAGAAAAATCAGCTGCAAACAGAAAAAATAGGAAAAATGAGAGCCATTGAAAAAACGATTTCAGCAAAATAGTGCAAAAAGAAATATTTTTCGAGCTCAAATTTTGAATTTCGAAAACCTAAAATCTACAGTACCAAAAAACCTACGAACTTGAAAGGTCCCTTTCGGAGTAAAAAATTAAAAACTTGAGACAGTGATTCTTAACCAGTTGTTTTGAAACTTCATGGAAATCTTTTTCAAATTTTCAAAATGACAACTTAGACGATTTCAGGGAAAATTTCGTCTTCTACAGTTTTCAGAATGAGCTATGTCTGCAAGTTATTCGTATAAATGAACGTGGCGGGGAGATTTAGTTCGTTTTTTACGTCCCAGGAATCATAATTTCATCTTTTTTTCAATGGGCACGGTTTTCAAGAACCAAACCAGTTTTAAAAAAACGTTTTACCTAACGAAAACTACGCGCGAAGCCGGGACAATCCAGAAGGAGGAGCCGGCGTTAGCCGGCGGAGACCTTCTGGTTTTATACAACAAAGATTTTTGATTTTTTGAATTTATAAAAATTTTGAAGTTTCCAGAATTTTATTATTTCGAAACCAATTTTTGGCAAAAAAGCAGGACCCATAATGTTTTCTCCCATCAAAAATGTTCAGATTACATTCATAAATCTGTGATCTACTATACTCTAGTTGAGCCATTTTGAATCATCTAATTATTTTCTAGAAACGCCTTAAGCGGAAATATTTCATTTCTGCAGAAAAACGAGATCTAGTGCATTTAAATTTCAAAGTTCACCATAAGAAACTCTTTCAAAACCACCAAAAAACTAATTTATTTTTGTTAATTATATACTAATTCGTGAGTACTCTTCTTTTCTCAAAAATTATCCTCTTTTCAAAAAAAGTACAAGGACAAACACCAGAGTTGTAAATCTTCAATATATAATCAAAAGTACTTCCAAATTGAATCGCCATGCTAAAAAAACCACAAAAAATTGAAGAGGCGTAGTTGGTGTCATTTACAGAAATGTGTTTTTTTCTACTTACAAAAAGAGAGAAGAAATGATTCATACTCATTAGTAGGACTAGAGCACATAATAAAATATTTTGGACTCTTTTTTTTGCTCTGACAAATGATTGAAAAGAGCAGCAAGGATAGGATATAATAAAATATGAATTGGACTTCAACTTCCTTTTTTCATGTGCTGTTATAACATCTAACATGAAATCCAAAAATAAATATACTAGAAAAGAAAAAAACAGGAAACCTGGCAGATGAAAACACTTGTGACCAATATTTTTGGAACATTTATTTTTTCGTAAATGAGAAAAATATTATTCGAAAGAAAAATAACAGTTGAAGAGGTCAAAATAAAATATTGATAATCGAATCAAAATTATGACGCATTTATGAATTGCTTCTCCTTTTTTTGCGGAGATGCGAAGGAGTTTTAATTAATCATAAGAGGAAATATGTATAAGATCAAAACATAAGTGGGTGGATTTTAAATCAAGAGATCATTGTTAGGTTCTGACACATTTGAAAAAAGATTGAAAACTTTTCAAAAATGTAACATTTGATATTTTGCATCATTTATCATTTGTTCAATAGTTTCAAGTTTATAATTATTTCCTCACTGTTTTTTTTTTTCAAATCTAAATCTACGACATCTAGAATTTGTTGAAATACATATTATCAAACTTTTTAGTAACTTCGAACTTTTCAAAATGTCTAAGATCTAAATCAAGCAAATAAAGTAGCAGACCGAAAAGGGCAAATCCCCAGAAGTTCATACAAAACTTTATAAAAATGTAGTGTCGGCCAGTGAACAATTTTGCAAAGTTCGATCAGCGTCATTCAGAAATTTTCGAAAATATTTTTGACTACGAATTTTGAAATTAAATAGTATCCCACAACTCGGCCTCAATAGTTTTTAAACAAAAATTAATAAAAATAACACAAATCATGATATCTGAAACATCAAGCAAAAAGTTCTGGCAACCTATATTTTTCAAATTTGAAATTATAGCTTGAGAATATCAATCAGAGAGTTCATCGAAAAAGTTCTTGACTGTCATTTTCAGGAAATCCCCCTTCCATAAAAGTTCTGATACACCAGACTTCAATGAAAACAAAAACACTCTAATCCTAATACCAACTTAAAAAAACAGAACAGTAGTCTTAAACTTTTCCACGTCATAA